CAGGAAATTTCTGCAGAAGTGACAGAAAAGAAGTGGGTATTTTAAAGTTCCAAAGCGAATTGAAGGTTCAACATGAATTTACCCATTGCGAACAGTATTTTGATACATTAAACATTTCAAAACTTGTGTTTACTAATTGATTATTTTTAAACGACATTTAGGTTTGGGGCGAAATTCAAAACTGTTTGAAACATTTAAGTGACCAAACTGTTCTCCCATACATGTTATATTTGTAAAGTCACTACTGGTTAATTGCTGCAAATAGAAAATGAATCATAATAAATTATTAATCCCAAAGATTTGAAATTTGAAATATTCAGCGAAGAACTAAACCATGGTATTTTTTTAAAAAAATCTACAAAGCTGCGGGTCTGCATTGCACTTTATGTTATCTGGAGTCCTGTAGCTCAGTGGTTAGAGCACTCGCCTTGCAAGCGAGAGGTCTTGGGTTCTATTCCCGGCAGAGCGAAATGTTGGACAAAACACAAAATACTGCAGATGCTGGAATCTGAAACAAAAACAGAGGGCTGGGAAAACTCAAGCAGGTCAGGCAGCATCCATGGAGAAAGGAAAGTGAGCCAATGTTTCGGGTCCACAACTCTTCGTCAGAACTGGGATATGTTGGGAGGGAGAGGTTTTTAAGCACAAGTTGACGAAGGGTCGTGGACCCGAAACGTTGACTCACTTTCCTTTCTCTATAGATGCTGCTTGACCTGCTGAGTTTTCCCAGCCCTCTCTGGAAATGTTGGACAAGTTTCCTTACTCCACACACCTCTGTTTACCTGGCAGTAACTAGAAACCCAGTTGTTAGACAATTGGCGGATCACTTTTTCGGGGGTAATAATCCCTTCAAACAAAATAATAATAATAATTTGGTCACTCAATTTGGTCAAGGCTGTTTGTGGAAAACTGTTGTGCGCAATTGGCTGCCTCGATTCGCTCACAAATATACAATCAATTCAGTCAGGCGTGAAAAACGCTTTATCAAATGCAAGGATTATTATTGTTATTAACTTTAAAATAAACTAAGGGATAAATTTGCTAAAAATTAACTTTTAATGATAGGGCTTGAAGCCACCTGTGCAATTGATAATAGTTTTTGGTTGAGGATAGCATGAATTTAGTTGCTCCAGGACTCTACCCCTCTTTATAAATGCAAGTTGTTGTTGTTGTTGACCACAAGATGGCCACAATGTTCCAATAATAAAATTTTACTTTTCTGAAACCTGAGGAACAAATTTTATTATTAACACAATTAATCTTAGGTATTGAATTTGGAGAATAAACAAGGAAATGGGCAGCTGTTAGCTGGGCGACAATGCTAACTAGGCAGTAAATTAAGTGATTTCATTGAAAAATGTGTTCAACGAGTATGAAAATTGCACAAAGGATCAATTGTTTCTAAAACCAGTGTCAGTATATATTTTTCTGTAGGCAGATTGTTTTGGACAACATTCAAGTGTGCTATCTCCTTGATGTGGGCAAAACTGTGGACATGCAACATAGGTTAAGAACTCATCTCAATATGACTGTTATGGCTGTCCTTAAAGTCGACACCCAAGGTCTCAATCTCGATCAATAAATATAATTTTCTGAGACAGCAAGAGCACAGATTTTGCCGCTGTATGGCAGTCAGCCTAGAAAATAACTATTAAACAAAAACACCATAGAACATCTTCTTGGGATTATAATGGAGTCCTGTAGGGTATTGGTTACAGCGCTCGCCTCGCAAGCAAGTTTGGTTCGATTCCTGGGCAGGACGAAACATTAGGCAAGTTTCCTTACTCCACACACACGCCTCTGGTCACCTAGCAGTAAGTAGGAATCCGGTTACTAGTCGATTGGCAGACCGCTTTTCCAGCGATAACAGTGCCTTCAAAAATAATAATAATAATTTGGTCACTCAATCCACGACTGTTTCCATGTTTCGTCCACAAAATATACAGTTGATTCACTTTATATTCTGTGAAGCGCTTTGAGATGTCTCGAAGACGCGATAAGGCGCAATATCAAATGCAAAGATTATTACATTATTATTTTCAGAAGTAAATATTATTATAACTGAAAGTTGAACTTGACTGCATCAAAAATAATATTGATGCTCAGAAGTTAGGGGTCTGTGTTATTGGGGTGGGACACTGCCATCTAGTAGCAGCATAATGTATTACTTGATGGTTAAATTTGGTACTTGCATTTATATAAGCCAGCGGCCAACCCATGGTGGTCTGAGGAGCCATTGAAAACCCTCCCCCCACCACCGAACATTCACACTAGTCTAGGTAAGTCTGTGTTTCCAGTAGTGTGTTTCCAAGTTTTTCCTTGATTGAATATTTCTTGACTTATGGCATAAATCAAGAAATATTCCATCAAGAACATCTATTTTGTTGGTGGCCAAAAAAGGTTTCTCCACCACTGATGTCTAAAGGCCTTCTTGTAGGATAAAGACTCGGAACTCTTCACGCAAACAGAGACTGAACACTGAACAAGGTAGGCGAGGGAGGGGTAGGTGACTGTGGCCGACTACCGGGTTTACTCAATATCAACTATATTGTTGTTGTTGGTGTTGTACCAGTTTTACTCAACACCATGCCCCTCTCTCCTTTTTCAAGTCACGCCTGAAGAACTTCCCCTTTGACCATGCTTACGGCCACCTCCCCCCACCCAGCTCGGAGTCAGGCTCTGCCATTATCAAGCTCTCTGAGACGCTACCCTTCGTGAAAGGCGCTATATAAGTGCAATTTGTTGTTGTTATTGTAATAATCCTTGCATTTGATATCGTGCTTTATCATGTCTTCAAGACATCTCAAAGCGCTTCACAGGATATACTGTAAAGTGAATTGACTGTATATTTTGTGGGTGAAACGTGGCAGCCAATTGCACACAGCAGTGTCCCACAAACAGTCGTGGATGAGTGATCAATTTTTTTTTAGGAATTATTACCCTTTGAAGCGATCCACCAATCGACTAACATCCCTTTACCCAATTCTCTCGCTTGCGAGGAGAGTGCTCTAACCACTGAGCTACAGGACTCCACATGAAGGATGGGCAAGTGTACATCTGAGCTCTCCCTGCCTGCGACCACTTCCCCTATTCACCACAAATTCACCTCACTGCTGGAGCCTCCCTATGCAAATGGACTGAAAGAAACCACGGAAGGAGATATGAACCATGAAGAAGAACATTTCACGTGGGACTTGAGCCCACAACCTTCTAACTCAAGAGCGGGGCGAGAGCGCTTCCACTGAGCCAGGCTGACGCACACTAATCAATACTATTTATACAAGATTTATAGTGCAAAGTTTCAAACCTAGGACAAATTGTCTAGTGAAGACAAAAAGACAAGCGCATTGAATCACATTTTTTCATAGGTTGGTTGGTAACCACATGTTACATAGGTCTTACATACACAGGCATTCTAAGACACTACCCTGTGTGAGGAGCGCTATACAAATTGTTATTGTCTTCTTCTAAGTGTCCTCCTCAGCATCCGGTCCTTTGTTCTAGCCAATTCCTTGTTCCGTAGGCTGCTCCTCTATGCTTGCCCCAGGTTCTTCTCTTTTTTATTTAAAAGGGAGTATTGAGGCCTAACTTCTGATCAGCAATTTCTTATGATACTATGGTACTGCTACCTGACACAATCAATTTTGTTTTAAGTACCGGCACAAATATCTTCTATTCTACTGGCTGTTGACATCTCACTCACCTCGCAAGTGAGATCTCAACAACCTGTTTGTTAGTCAATTGGCGGATCGCTTTTCCGGGTATAATTATCCCTTCAAAAATAAAAATAATAATAATAATTTAGTCACTCAATCCGCGAGTGTTTGTGGGACGCTGCTGTGCGCAATTGCCTGCCGGGTTTTGCCCACAGAATACACAGTCAATTCACTTTACAGTATATTCTGTGAAGCACTCTGAGACGTCTCAAAGACGTGATAAGGCGCTATATCAAAGGCAAGGATTATTATTATTATTATCATCATCATCATCAGGGCCCCAATCCTATTCTCATTTTAAGCAACAGTGATCTTTTTTTCTGTACCTCATTAATTTGTTTCAGATTATAATTGCTGTAATTAGTAAATTATTCAATGATCATCAAGTTTCATCTTTCAGCCGCACTCCCCAAAATCTTGGCACAATCAGAGATATACTGGTGTATCCGCTGTACCTGTCAGAGCCTGTCTGGTCTCTGTAAAATCAGCCCTAAATTCCAGGGGTGACAGGTATTAATATTTTGTTTGATCTTTTCTTTAACCATCTATTCTTAATCTTTAAATATATAAAGAGTAAATAGCACCCTCTGCTGGCAACATGATTTTCTTTACTGAAACCACAGCTTTTCATTTTGGAACAGATTTGCAATGTATAGATGATGGGCGGTTTCCTATTGATATGTTGCAAAGTAAATTCTTGTCGCTTAGTGGTTAGAACACTCGCCTCGCAAGCGAGAAGACATGGGTTCGATTCCCGGGCAGGGCGAAACGTTGGCCAATTTTCCTTACTCCACGCGCCTCTATTACCTAGCAGTAAGTAGGAACCCGGTTGTTAGACAATTGGCGGATTGCTTTTTCAGGGGTAATAATCCCTTCAAAAAAATGTGGTCACTCAATCTACGACTATTTGTGGGACACTGATGTGTGCAATTTGCTGCTATGTTTCACCCACAAAATTTACAGTCAATTCACTTTACAGTGTATTCTGTGAAGCGCATTGTGATAAGACGTGATGAGGCGCTATATCACATGCAAGGATTGTTATCATTAAATTACCAATAAAAGGAAGAATACCAAATGGCACCCAGCAATTTATAAAAATGAATTTTTTGAATTGTGACAGGAAATATCTAGGTATGTAACAGAGCAAGGCATGACTAGGTTACCTTTGCTTATGATTTATCCTGTATTATTACAGAACTGGCAATGCATATTTACTTATTTATTATTATTATTTATTGTTAAAATAAAAAAATGCTTAATTTTAGAAGCGGTTCAGCCTACCTCCAATGAAGTCTCCGTCAGTCAGTTTCTTTGAAATATTGTCTCCTTCCGAAACCATGATGCCTTTCTCAATGAATAACATATAGCGTCCAATCGCACCTTTGTGATAAATCACATTGGCACTTTGGCAAACATGAAACTTTAGCTTGGAGAGCAATGAATTCATGAAGTTCTCATCGCAATTCTTGAAAAAGGGAACGTTGGCCATGAGACGACTGCAGTTATGATTGATTACTTCCTACATGAGTATATGAAAAGAATGATTTTGTTAGCCGATTGACAAAAAAAAATGGTCACCATACTTAAAAGTATTCAATATCAGACTAAGCGTTCCATGCATAGAAATTTCCATATCTGGAATGAAATGCGCACTCTCTTCCCGGAGGGACGCATCCTGCTTACCTAATTCCGGAAGGTATTCGGCAAAAATTGCCAAGTCTCGGGGACCGCAGAGCATGTGTTGGGGTAACTGCTGTAGTCTAACCAGCTAAAACCACATAGCTTGCCATTGATATTGCTGTCTGGCATGCTTTCCCGCTGCTTATCCAGCTAGAACCACCCTACCCTGACTTGCAGGGTTAACAGGAGCTGAGTGGGAAGAATTATTGCCCACAATTGTCCCCTCCAAGTTCTGCTGATGAGTTAGGCTGACTGCTCTTTTAGCAATGGCCCAGAATACTGTGGATCTGCTTAGCTCAGGAACCGGACAACCAAGACTGCAACATAGGACTGTCTCAATTCCGACATTCTCTGTCACGCATGTCACCTTGGCCCGCCTAGTTCACGTCCCCCGCCTCGCTTGCCCCAGTATTGGCAGGGAGACCTTCTGCCACTCTGCCCCCACCCTCTGGAACTCCATCCCGCAATCCCTCCACCTCGTTCCCTCCTTTGCCTCCTTCAAGACCTGTCTCAAGACCCTCCTCTTCGACCGTGCTTTCGATCTCTGTGTTTCCCCTCCGCCCATCACCTGATCCCGACCCCCAGCTCGTGTCCGAAGCTTTGGCTGTCCAGTGCCTTGGGACGTCCTCCCGACATGAAAGGCGCTTTACAAATGTCATTTTGTTGTTTGTTGCTGTTGTTGTTGTATAATCTTATGCATCTATTGAAAATGTTTCCAGCAATTACCTCTCTGAGTGCCTGTGAAAGTTCATTAAGGATCATAGATTCGTTAAACCACTTCCCTCTAAACTGGTGGGCCAGATAATCTAAAACTCTCAATCGAAGTTCCTTGGGTATATGATGATGCCGCAGGAATTCCTTGTACGCATTGAACTAACAAAAAATGATAAAAATGAAGAAGGCATTATAACATTGTCACATAGACCTTTGGCAAAGCACCCTAGACACACACTTCCGTATTTAATCATTTTAAAATACAGCTTTATTCAGCTTGTTTCTTAAATATCAGCAATTGATAAATTGTATGTGTATCTGTGTTTAGATACATTATAGGATTTCATTGTTGCATTATTTATTGAAAGAAAATGTTCTAAAAGTTTATTATCCTGGTAATGCTATTATACATATCACAATTAGTTTATTTTAACAAAATCAGGTGGACTGCGTAATAATGCCTTCATAAAAAAAATTGGTAGCTCAATCCACGAATGTTTGTGAGACACTGCTGTGTGCAATTGGCTGCCATGTTTCACCCACAAAATATACAATCAACTCACTTGACAGTATATTCTGTGAAATGCTTTCAGATGTCTAGAAGATGTGAAAAGCTCTATATCAAATGCAAGGATCGTGGAGTCCTGTAGCTCAGTGGTTAGAGCACTCGCTTTGCAAGTGAGAGACCTGAGTTCAATTCCAGGCACAGGGCGAAACCTTGGGCAAGTTTCCTTACTCCACACACCTAATAATAATCCCTCCAAAACCAAAAACAATAATAAATTGGTCATTTTCAATCCATATGACTGTTTGTGGGACATGGCTGTGCGCAATTGGCTGCCGCGTTCGCCCACAAATATACAGTCAATTCACTTTACAGTGTGTTCTGTGAGGCGCTTTGGGACGTCCTCCCGATGTGAAAAGCGTTACATCAAATGCAAGGATTATTATTATTATTATTAAGGATTAATTATATTATAATTATATCACAATATTTCAATAAATACCTTTTCTCTGTATACACGCTTGCTTGCATTAGCATTGGCAATTAAGGCAGTCACCTGGGCCAACAAAATAGCATACATGATCGATCCAGTAAGCATGCTGATGTTGACCACCCAGATTTCAGAAGCTCCTAAACACAGAGAATTTAAAAAGAGTTAAGATAGTGAAACATTAAATTAAATGAAATTGCAATTGAAGGGGGTTAAATTCACATCTGGAGAGACACTACTTCAGTGAGTGAGTCATAAATGTATGGAACAGGCTCCCTAGGGAGACAGACAGTAGAAGCAGAAAGTGTTGTTTGTTTTAAGAACAAATTAGATAGATTTCTGCTAGAAAATAATATCTTGGGATACAGTATAATAATAATGTTCCTTGCATTTAATGTAGCGCCTTATCACGTCTTCGAGATGTCTCAAAGCGCTTCACAGAATATACTGTAAAGTGAATTGGTTGTATATTTTGTGGGCGAAACATGGCAGCCAATTGCGCACAGCAGTGTCCCACAAACAGTTCATAGATTGAATGACCAAATTAATTAATTATTTTTGAAGGGATTATTACCCCTGGAAAAGCGATCCGCCAATTGACAAATAACCAGGTTTCTACTTACTACTGGGTAAACAGAGGTGTGTGGAGTAAGGAAACTTGCCCAACGTTTTGTCCTGCCTGGGAATCAAACCCAGGTCCTCTCACTTGTGAGCCGAGTGCCTTAACAACTGAGCTACAAGACCCCACTGCAAACATCCTTTCAACAAAGGATTTTTTTGATCAGTTGGATATCTGACACATGAAAAAACTATTTTTTTAGCAAAGGTTTAATTAGAAAGCACTGCTTTCATATTGACACATTATAACTGTAAAGTATGTTACCTGTCGGGATTCCAATTGTTCCATAGTCAAGACACATCATATGACAGAGAGCTCGGAAAATACTGAAACTATACTTTACTTTCAAGGATTTATCCTGTAAAAAAATGTTTTAAAGACATATTAGTTTTATCTCTAGGATGTGAAAGGAATGACATTCAAAACATGCGTTGTGTGTCACACGTTAAGGATCAACAATACCTCAGGTTTAGGTATTACAGACCTATTTGGCTTTGCTAGACATGTTTTCTCAGAACTAATCCCATCAGTGGCACCCTATTTACATGCCCTTATATTAGTTTATATAAGTCGGTCACCCTCCGACCCCTACCCTCCCCACCCTCCCCACCCTGTAGCCCTCCTGATCCCAACCCCTTGCTTGGGTCTCCCTCCTTCCACACACATCCCATTTAAAAACCTTCCTTTTTGATCGTCCTTACAATCACCTGCCCCCTCCCTCTCCCCCCGGCTCAGGGTCAGACTCTGCTACTGTCAAGCGCTCCAGGATGCTACCCAGTGTAAAGGGCGCTGTATAAGTGCCAGTTGTTGTTGTTCTTGTTGGAGTAATGGTATCTCTATGGTGTTCAAGGTAACCACATAACTGAACAAACAATTAAAAGATAGCAAGACTGAAGAGTTAATGGAACAAGACAGACCTCACCTTAATGTTTAGAAGACCGACCCAACTGTTCTTAGGAACTCCTTGTAAGCTCACAATTAGATACTGTAAACAGGCATTCCAGTGAAGGAACAAGATAGCCACAATGATCCAGTAACCTAAACCCAAGAATCTTGATATACCCATATTCCAATGATGTAACTGCAACAACAAACAACAAGTTACATTTCCACAGTACCTTCCATGTCAGGGGGATGTCCCAAGGTGTAGGACATTCAGGAATTTGGACCCGAGCAGGGGGTTGCAATCAGGAGGGCAGGGAGGGTAGGGGCAGGAGGGTGGTGGTCAAAGAAGGGGTTCTTGAGGCATCAGTTGAATGAGGCAAGGGAAGAAACAAAGCAAAGGGACTGTTGGATGGAGTTCCAAAGGGTGGGGTCAGAGAGGCTGAAGTTTGGCCACCGATGGTGGGGAACACAAAATAGTGGAGAACTACAAAACAAAAAATAAACTACATTTCTTCCCTATATTCCTAGTATTCAGTTTATACACCACAGGCTTTCAATAACAACATCAACAAAAAAAAGTATCATCACACAAAAGTAGGAGAAAGAGGTCGGAAACTTCTATCTTGCCCTCCGCATAAAAAGCCATGGGTTGTGCCAGAAAACCCTTTCTGGATGTGGCAGTATTCAAGTCTTGCATACACCTGATCTTCACAATTACCAATTGTTGAGGGGAATGGAAAATGTTGGAAATCAACTCACGGAACCAGAAAAAAATTAACTTGCTTCATTAGAAACATAGCAACACAGAAACAGGTGTTGGCCATTAAGCCCCTCAAGCCTGTTCCACCATTCTATAAGATTATGGCTGATCTGTACCTTAAGTCCAATTACCCGCCTCTGCTTCCTTGATACCCTGATACATTCAGTAAATGCTTATCAAGTTTTACACACTTAATTAAATGACAGTGGTAAAATACAAGTTGGTACAATAAAAATTAAACTTACATGGAGAATTGAAGATTACTGGCTAAATAAAGGTACTCAGAACACCTATAGGTAATTCCTTAACACGTGGGAGAGGGGAGGAGGTGGGCATCATTCTTATCAATGGATATTTCCCAAAATGATAACATACAGTATTGCTCACAAAATGCGGAGCACCTAGCAATATAATGTACAGTTCATTTTTAACCCAGTAATATTTTTGCCTAATAATGGACAATGAACAATAATGCTTGAAAGTTTCATTAGTTTTCCTGCAATAATATTCATTCCCATGATAGTAACACATGGCTCTAAGTAATTTTCTGATCCCAACTCCTTGTAAAAAATCAACTCGATATTGACGTGGATCTATGGAGACAGATATCTGAATTGTTGAAAAACTTGCCTCTTCCCAGCTCTTTGTGTATCGTAGAAGGCTTGAGAAGCGCAGTAAACGTAGTAAACCCATTATCCTGGCCAGTTTAAGTATGCGAGTGATTCTTGAACCAGTGTATTCTACAGATGAGGCATCAAGTTTACCTATAGTCTGAAGACAGAATTTTTTAATACTCAATATATTTATATTTTAAAGAAATGTTTAGTAAACATTAGCGACATTGAATATTATATTATACAACGGTGTTTTATTTAAATATGTAAACATTCGTCTTGAAAGTAATGTACTGAAAGACAACTTAGTATTTCCATACTAATGCATGGAGCATAGGGAATAAATGTTCAGAATTAAGAATGCAGCCAGTCAAAAATAATGCTGTCACAGAAACATGGCTGATAGAAGAAGATGGCCACTATATGGGATTACAAGGTTAAACAGTGGAATGCTTTGTCAACCTATATCTTAGTGGTTGGGGCACTTGCCTTGCAAGTGAGATGACCTGAGTTTGATTCCTGGGCAGGGCGAAACGTTGGGCAAGTTTCTTTACTCCACACGCCTCTGTTCACCTAACAGTAAGTAGGAACCCAGACGTGATAAGGCGCTATATCAAATGCAAGGATTATTATCATTAAATGGCACGATTCAGCTACAAAAGGCAAATTGTAAATTTTCAATTACTACAAGGTGAACTTGTAAACGTAAAAACTATACAGTACGAAGAATGGTACAAACTTATATACTACTTACTTATATCATACATCTACGTATAGAATCGTAGAATTTTATAGCAGAGGAGGCCATTTGCCCATCGTGCCTGTGCTGGCTCTTTGAAAGAGCTACCAACTAATACCACTCCCTACCCTTATTCCATAGCCTAGCTCTTACCCCATAACCATACTATGGGGTAATATAGTCTTATTACAAACACTTACTCTTTGAATTAGAAGTATGTACTCTACAGGCAGCGCAGCAATCAGATCAATCACAAACCAAGTTTTCAGATAATGATTTTTGATTTGTTTTGGGTCCACAATGATAACCTATAGATATAAGCAAAAATACAGGTGAAAATAATATAATCTGTAACCTCTACACATATCATTGGTATATAATATTTCAGTGATTTTTCAATTGACTTTTGTGTATGTTAGGTCATATATTAATAGGCAGACGACAGAAATGATTCTTTATGTGATACTTGAAATCACAGAAAGTTCATTACCCATCTCTCATGCTTAAACTCCACACATCCAACTGGTAGAACCATCATTCAATGGGAAGGGACTTTAATTCTTCAATTTTGAGTATCCTTCACATACTGAAATACAGGGAAAAACCCCAAGGGACCATTGTGAACAAAACCAGGAAACTAAAGTCAAATGGCTATATATTTTATGTTTTAGTAATATTGCCAGATGTTCTGTTCCTATAAATATCGATCAACTAACTTCCTAATGGCAAGCAAATGTCCTCCCCTGGACTCATAGATGAGTTGCATTGGGTTTGATTCCCGGGTAGGGCGAAATGTTGGCCAACTTTCCTTACTCCACATGCCTCTGTTCACCTATCAGTAAGTAGGAACCCGGTTGTTAGTTGATTGGGGGATCACTTTTCCAAGATTAATAATCACTTCAAAAAAATAAATGAATCAATAAAATAATAATGATAATATGGTCACTAAATCCATGACTGTTTGTGAGACACTGCTGTGTGCAATTGACTTTCGCGTTTCACCCACAAAATATACAGTCAAATTCACTTCTGTGAAGCGCTTTCAAACATCTCAACGGCTTGATGAGGCGCTATATCAAATGCAAGGATTATTATTATTGTTATAAAACAATTTTAAATCATTTGTTGGAATCCTTAATGTTCATGTGTTACTTTTCATTGTGCTTCATCAAATTTAAATGTATTGAACTTTTAACAAACCATTTCGTGAAATAAGGCTAACATTTTAAAAATCAGATTTCATTCATACCTCCATATCTTCATCGGTGTATCCTAAGTAGAAATTTAATAGTAGATCAATTATGGAAATAGTGTCAGAGAATACAATGTAAGTGATCCAGACTGATCCAGTATAGATTTCTTCTGTGAAGAAACTGACCCCAAGTGGTACAACAATAGTATTCAGGCCCATTGTCATCAACATACCGATCAGCCAATAATGTCTGGATAAAAACGCAAAGAAAGTTAAGTTTTTTTTACGATATGATTAGGAGATGATGCAAAAATTACTTTCAAGTAGATTTGAACAAAACGTGTTTTCTTAAAAGTATATGTCCATTAAAATTATGAATTACATTTGTCAATCTATCATTTATAGGAATATGTTCCCATAATCCGTAGAATAATTCAACTAGTATGTATTATCGGTGTTTGTGTTTTCTACTTCAGAGACCATCTACAACAACAACTTGCATTTATACAGTGCCCTTCACAAGGGGTAGCTTCCCGGAGCGCTTGACAGTCTGACCTCGAGCCGGGGGGAGAGGTGACTGTAAGCAAGATCAAAAAGGAAGGTCTTTAGGCGGGATTTGAAGGTGGGGAGCGATGGGGCAAGGCAGAGGGATTGAGGGAGAGAGTTCCAGAGTTTCGGCACGTAGCGGCTGAAGGCACGGCCACCAATGGTGGAGCGGAGGAGATATATATATATATCCTATACCTAATTCCTTGTTCCTTCCATGCTCTAATATCCTTCCTCCAAATGTGATTACCTTGTTCCTCTCCAAATGTGATTACCTTGTTCCTCTCCAAATGCTCCAATTGACACTGCTCCAGGTAAAGCATTCCATACTCTGAGAACCTTTTTGGACTCAACACTCAAAATGTCCACTTCATCTGTGTTTTCCCACAAACCTGATGAAGTTCCCTTAACCCTCCCAAGACTTGAAGTTGCACCTAGCTAAGGCCTGTGAAACCACAGTGTTAAATTTAGGAAGGTGAAACATTCTTTGATTCAGTCTTGGATTAGTTTTCCGCAAAAAGTTCCTACAAATTGAATTGAAGAATTTTCCACAGTTCTGTGTGATCTTAAATAATAATTAATTAATATTAATAATCTGGCCACTCGATCCAAGACTGCTTGTGGGACACCGCTGTGAGCAATTGACTGTTGCGTTTCACCCACAGAATATACAGTCAATTTGTTTTACAGTATGTTCTGTGAAGCTCTTTGATGAGACGCTATATCAAATGTAGGGATTATTATTGCTATTCATTCTGACCAAATTATGCTTTTCTCAATCTCACTGAAAATCTGTCTTTATTAATTCTCTCATCTGAGATTTCAGTCTCACATTGAGACTGTGAGTCACGGTCTAAGCTGACAGTCCAGTATTGTACTGTATTTCATCAGCTCTCAGACAGCTGATGAGGAAACTCTGAGACTTGGGGCAACAGTTGCTGGAAGGTGTTTCCTGGAATTTGAGTTTGTGAACACACGTTCGTAAATCCAATGCTTGGAACCCATCTTGATTAGCCTGTAGAGAGGCAGAGAGGCAAGCAGCTGCTTCTTAAACTTCACACCTCCAACCGGTGAAACCATCACTCCATGGGAAGGGACGTGTGCCCAAGCTGCAGACAGGGAGACGGTGGCAATGCTCTCAGCATTTTAGGCTGAGATGCTTTGCCCACCAGGAAGCTCGCAGTTAGTTCCTGGTACCTACCTTTCTCCTAGTGAGGGCTCAAACCTGTGCTTGGTAGGATGTCGAACAAACAACTATTCTCCTTGGAGGGGAGGTAAGTGGGATCTCCTTGTAGCTGAACTGGCTCCAAGATGACGTGTCTGGGAATGGAATATCAGAATCAAGCCAGCCCTCTGTGATGGTCTCTAGTCCTGTTCCTGAGCCAGGCTGGTCCACAATATTCCAGGGCAATGCTGATGACAGCACAGCCCAGCCTGGCTCATTGGCAGGACCTGGAATTGCAGACCAGTCTCTGGGGGCAGGGAGTCATCCCACTCAGCTCCTGTTAACCCTGCAGCCAAAGCCCTAACAGTCCTAGCTGGAAAAGCAGTAGGAAAGCTTGGCAGACAGTAATATCAATCGCAAGCTAAGCAGTTTTAGTTGTTACCTGATCGCATACTCTGGGTTCCCCAAGCCTTGGCTCTTGCCAACCTGTGCCTAATACTTTCCGGAATTAGGTAAACAGGATGTGTCCCTCCAGGGAGAGAGTGACCATTCCATTCCAACAATGTATCCCTGGGATTTCCATGTGTAAATGGGATGCATGGAAATCTCAGCTTGGTTTGGAGACTCTTAAGCACGGTGATGGCTTTGTCAGACACCCGGCTGAGCAAAAATAAAATTGCATTTAGTTAGACATTAAAGGTCCCATGGCATTATTCAAAAAGAGAACAGAATTTCTCCCAGTGTCCAAGGTTAACAATTCTCCAGAAAAAAATTTGCTTCATGTAGGATATTGCTATGAGCAAATATGCTGCCCTGTTTACCCACAAAATACACAGTCACTGGACTTTATAGTAAATTCTGTGAAGAACTTTGAGATGTCCTCCAAGTGGAGAGAATTGCAGAAACCCTTCACTGTGTTTCAGAGTATCCAAACTAGACTGAGTTACACATAAACAAAACACAAATTACTGCAGATGCTGGAAATCTGAAACAAAAACAGAAGTGTCTGGGAACAATCAGGAGGTCAGGCAGCATCTATGGACAGAGGAAAGTGAGTCAACGTTTCGGGTCCATGACACTTCGTCAGAACTCAGATAAAGTTCTGATGGAGAGTCGTGGACCCGAAACGTTGACTCACTTTCCTTTCTCCATAGATGCTGCCTGACCTGCTGAGTGTTCCCAGACACTTCTGTTTTTGCTTAAGTTACACATAATATATGCCAGCTATAGGTGCATGTGTGCATTATGAATGGGATGCACACTCTGTCTCCCTGGATGCATACCCTCTGATTTCCAGGAATAAAATGGAAGTTGTCAAAGTGAAGTTTTTTTGGGTGGGAAGGGGGCACAATACACAAAACCCAGAATGTGCATTGCTCACAAAATACACAGTCACTCCACTTTACAGTATATCCTGTGAAGCATTTTGAGAAGTCTCGACGACCACTGCTGGAGTCCAGTCAGCCCAAACCGGCCAACTTGCTGTGGATTTAATATAAGCAACTGAACACAACAATAATAGTATAATAATAATATCATATCAGTCCCTGTCGCATGCTCCCTGGCGCTACAATCTCAACAAAATATACAAAACACAGTCACTCAGTCACTCTACTTTACAGTATGTCCTGTGAAGCGCTTTGAGATGCCTCAATGACGTGATAAGGTGCTATATCAAATGCAAGGATTATTATTAATCACTTCATGACTGTGGGGCACTGCTGGGCGCAATTGGCTGCTACGTTTCGCCAAAAAAATAGACAGCCAATCCATTTCACAGTTTATCTTGTAAAGCGCTTTGACACGTGTCGACGAAGTGAAAAGGCGCTGTGTCACATAATTGTCAAATTATTGAGTCAGATTATTATTATGATGATGATGATCTCACCTGAAACGGCTGTAAGGGTGGATGATGAATTGTGAATATTCATCTAATTTGTCGTTTTCATCCAGGATAGCCTGTGGGTTGCCAAAAAACCTGAGTGACGCGCTGTCGGTGTCAGCCACGAATATCTGCAGGTGGCTCGAAAGCCCTGTATGGGACTTCAAGAAGCTCGAGCTCATCCCCTCGTCTACAGTTAAACTTTTCTCCGAGCTAAAGGCACTTGTCTTGCTCTCGTCTTCCATAGTTACTGCTTCTTCTGCTCTGTTCCTTTTCCTAGTATAATATAATAATAATAATAATAATCCTTGCATTTGATATAGTGCCTTATCATGTCTTCGAGATGTCTTAAAGCGCTTAAAAGGATTATTACCCCCGGAAACGTACTTCACCAATCTACTAACAAGCTGGTTCCTATTTACAGCTAAGTAAACAGAGGCGTATGGAGTAAAGAAACTTGCCTATCCGGGAATCGTACTACAGCAAACTCACTGGCTGGAGAAAGGAGGGAGAGGGTGGGAGCAAGAAACAACAAAAAACAACAGCTTCCCGTTCCGGACACAAATAACGACCGTTGACGCTGACACTTATTGTGACTCATTGTGATGTGACATTAGCCGTCCAGAGCGCAAAGAGAATTGAGAATTTTTAGATTTTTTTATTGTGAAGTCAGAACAGAATTTTTCAAAAAGAGCATAAGGTGTTTTGTGATATAAACAGCTCTCCTGAATCTCATATCTTCTACCTTAATGTATTAATGTATTAATATAATATATAGTTATATAACAACACCTTCCATTTACACAGCGGCCCTCACACAGTGTAGTGTCCCAGAGCGCTTGACAATAGCAGAGCACGACGCCGAGCCGGGGGAGGGGTAGGTGACTGTAGACACGGTCGAAGAGGAAGGTCTTCAGGCGCGATCTGAAGATGGGGAAGCAATGGGCGAGGCGGAGAGATAGAGTAAGAGTGTTCCAGAGTTTCAGGGTATAGTGGCTAAAAGCAAGGAGGGAACAGAGGGCATGAGGGACATTCAGGAGGCTGGAGCCAGTCGAGCGGAGGCAGCGGGTGGTGGTGTCGGGCGTAAGCAGATCCAAGAGGTAGGGAGGTGCGAGGAAATGAGGGGATAATATATAGTTATTAAAATAACATACATACTTACAATATATGACTATATATTATTATAATATAATGTACATAATATACATATTAATATAACTGCAATTGATTTTTAACACATGAAGATGAAGGTGAAATTGTTATACCTTACCAGGAGAGGGCACCAATATCTTCAAAGATATAATTTTGCTGTCGTTTGAAGAACCAAAACATTTAGATTTTAACATTTAGATCCCTAGATCCACAGCAATTATACTCAGATACATGAAGACTTACAATTTATAAATTAGTACTAAATAGACTGAAGAGCTGTCAGTTCAGTTCTCAGAATTTGCCCAGAAGAAAAAATACGCTTTTCTATGCTACCTTAGTAGTTTTGTTGGAAATAAGAGTATCTATTTATAATAATATAAATATCAAATAATATAAATAATATAAAAACTTGCATTTGATATGACGCGTTTCACGTCTTCTCGACGTCTCAAAGAGCTTCACAGAACAAACTGTAAAGTGAATTGACTGTATATTTGTGGGAGAAACGCGGCAGCCAATTTCGCACAGCAGTGTCCCACTAATAGTCGTGGATTGAAAATGACCAATTTATTATTGTTTCGTTTTGGAGGAATTATTATTAGGCGTGTGGAGTAAGGAAACTTGCCCAAGGTTTGGCCCTACCTGGAATTGAACCCAGGGGTCTCACTTGCAAAGCGAGAGCTCTAACCACTGAGCTACAGGACTCCATTTGTACCACAAAGTTGAAATGGATTGTGCTTTCAGGCTCTTGGCTATAATACTAATTCTAATGAAAATATCAACTGTGAGAATAAAACTTTATCAAATATATAGACTTCACTGGAGCCATATTGGTATTTTGGTTCATATGTATAACCCTAACCTTAATGTATACATGTTTTTACTATTAATAATAATAATGATCCTTACAGTTGTTATATCACATCTTCAAGACGTCACAAAGCCCTTCACAGAATATACTGTAAAGTGAATTAACTGGATATTTTGTGGGCGAAACACGGCAGCATGCAGCAGTGTCCCACAAACAGTCATGGATTGAGTGCCCAAATTATTATTTTTTTGAAGGGATTATTACACCTGGAACAGTGATCCACTAATCGACTAACAACCAGGTTCCTACTTACTGTGAGGTAAACAGAGGCGTATGGAGTAAGGAAATTTGCCTGATGTTTCACTCTACCCAGGAATCAAACCCAGGTCCTCTTGTTCCTGAGAAATATAGACAGAACTGCAAATCCCAAGGTGCTCTGTATATGCTGTTGAATCTTAGTCACAATCCTGGATAGTAAGAAAACAAGGTGCCAGTTTGTCCAGACGTGGAGAACTGACTAATACATCGACTCCACGGATCAATGTCGAACTGGCTTGTGAATGAAGTTCCTAAATTCATCATATTAGTAAGTATAATTTTTTAATTTAATTGAGAATGTTATGTAGTGTGAATTTAACATTAACATGTATCTACAGCTTATATATTTTTCAATTTTTTTATTGATTTTTAATTTTTTTATTGATTACTATAAAGCAGTGAATCAAATCTTTGGGGGAGAAATATGTTTCTTAGAGTTTCTTAATCTGACGTTCATGAAGAAATCAAAGCAAATCTTTTAAGAATTCCAGTTTAACTTACTGAAAAGTTAAACCTATATGCTGCTTACTTATTATGTTAGAAGTTAGACAAACATATTGTAATATACATTAATATAAATTAATGTCCTGTAGCTCAGTGGTTAGAGCACTCGCCTCGCAAGCGAGAGGACCTGGGTTCGATTCCCAGGCAGGGAGAAATGTTGGGCAAGTTTCCTTACTCCACACACCTCTGTTTAACTAGCAGTAAGTAGGAACCGGGATGTTAATCTATTGGTGGATCGCTTTTCCGGTGATAATAATCCCTTCGAAAAATAAATAAATAACAATTTGCTCACTCATTCCATGACTGTTTGTGGGACACAAACAAAATATACAGTCAGTTCACTTTACAGTATATTCTGTAAAGCTCTTTGAGACGTCTCGAAGACATCATAATGCACTATATCAAATGCAAGGATTATTATTACTATTATTAATTTACTAAAATAATAGTTGAAACTGATTCTTGGCATAAATGTCCTCTAAACCATCTGAGATTTTATGTAGAATGGATTCTACCTTAAAAACATTTTTTTATGTATCTGGTGTTCAAAAGTGTTCAAAACTTATTGTTTTAAAATTACTATATTTCACAATATCATTACATTATGAACCTTTTAAGCTAAATGTAATAAAGTCCTCTCGCTCCTGAGAAGTACACAAACTGCAAAGGTGTGTGAAATTAAAGCTACTTTCCTTTGTTACAGTTGCTGTGGCTGGGAGTAAATGCATTTCTTTTTGTTTCCACCTTCCTCTTGTATGAACGAGGGGAAGCATATATCTATACTCGGGCTCTTCTTGGGGTAAGAGAGATTTTCTTTAGAAAAAAGTTGTTTTTAGAGGCAGTTATTAACAACGCGGAGTCCTGTAGCACAGTGGTTAGAACATGCCTCACAAGCGAGAGGATCTGGGTTCTTTATGCAAGTTTCCTTACTCCACATTCATCTGTTTACCTAGCAGGAAGTAGGAACATGTTTGTTAGTCGATTGGCGGATCGTTTTTCCAGGGTTATTAATCCCATCGAAATAAATAATTAATAATAATTTGGTCACTCAATCCATGACTTTGTGGGACACTGCCGTGTGCAATTGGCTGCCATGTTTTGCCCACAAAATACACCTGTGAAATAACTTTACAGTATATTCTGTGAAGCGCTTTGAGACGTCTCGATGATGTGATAAGGCACTATATCAAATGCAAGGATTATTATTATTATTTTTATTTCTCCAATCAGTCAACACTGGCTTGGGCAAGAGCCTCTGCAATGTGTCTCAATTTCAACTGCCTTTTGATCCTGCTGCCTGTCAGTCGGAATCTTATCTCTTTCTTCCGAGCATCAGGGAGTGTAAGTACTGGTTTATAAATCTCAATTTGCCTTCTCTTGAGTCCTACTGAGTTTAACAGGATAATGAATATCAATATAATGTAAGTGATCTCAAAAAGCATTATAATGACTGAAAATGCGTTATATTAACCTTAAATGGTGCAAAATTATGAAGGATTTTTATAGAGTAGATAAGGTGAAACTGTTATCATTGTTGGGTGGATCAGTACAGGGGACATAGATTTAAGATAATTGGCAGAAGAACCAGAAGGCAGATTGTAGAATCATAGAATGATATAGCACAGAAGGAGGTCATTCGGCCCATAGTGTCTGAAAATGCTTTTTGAAAAGAGCTGTCCAGATGAGAATTTTTTTTACACACGAGTTGTTATGGTCTGCAATGCACTGCCTGAAAGGGTGATGTAAACAGATTCAATATCAACTTTCAAAAGGGAATTGGACAGGTACTTGAAAAGGAAAAAATTGCAAGGCTGTGGGGAAAGAGTGGGTGAGTGGGACTGATTGGATAGCTCTTTGAAGAGCTGGCACAGGCACGATGGGCCGAATGGCCTCCTTCTGTCCTGTAAGATTCTGTGATTCTATGATTCTAGGTGTCAGCTTGACTTAGTTGACTTAGACTTAGCACTCTCACTTCAGAGTCAAAAGTTCTTTAACTCTCTCCTAACTCATCTTGTATGTAAATTGTGACTAATTCCCTGAAAATAGCTGATCTTTGAAACAGTCTTCTATATTTTGTCAACCCAGTGTTGCAGAAGCAATGTCAGAAGATACTTGGACAAAACCATTACATTTCACCGAATGGTGGGCTACATGATTGTATTACACACTGGTGAGATATTTTCTTATTAAATAATAATAATCCTTGTATTTGATATAGCACTTCACAGAATGTACTGTAAAGTGAATTGACTGTATATTTTGTGGGCAAAACGTGGAGGCCAATTGCGCACAGCAATGTCCCACAAACAGTCATGGATAGAGTCACCAAATTATTATTTATTTATTTTGAAGGGATATTACCACCGCAAAGCGATCCACCAATCAACTAACAACTGGGTTCCTACTCACTGCTAGGTAAACAGAGGTGTGTTAAGTAAGGAAACTTGCCCAACGTTTGCCCTGCCCTGCCTGGGAATCGAACCTGGGTCCTCTCGCTCGAGAGGCAAGTGCTCTAACCACTGAGCTACAGGCTGCCAAATACTCATTTGTAAGTTTATTAATTGGATAGTAAAAGATAGTTGGAAACTGGAAATCTGCAGAAACCCATCACCATGTTCAAGAGTCTCCAAACCTAACTGAGATTTCCCTGCATCCCTCCTACACATGAAAATCCCAGAGATAGATTGTTGGAATGGAATGCGCACTCTCTCCCTGGAGGGACACATCCTGTTTACCTAATTCCAGAGAATATTAGGCACCGGTTAGTAAGATCCAAGGCTTGGGGACCCCAGAGTGTGCATTGGGGTGCTGATGGTGTCTAACCGGCTAAAACCACATAGCTTGCCTTTGTTGTCTGACAAGCTTTCCTGCTGCTTATGCAGCTAGGACCACCCTCCCCATTGGGACTTTTTTTTTGTTATATATAGATTTTGCAGGGCTATGGGAGAGCGTGGAGGAATGGGATTGATTTAAATAGTTCTTTTCAAAGAGTCGGCAAAGACATGAATGACCTCCTTTTGTGCTGTATAATTCTATGATTCTATGATGTGTCAGATATAATCACATTTTACCCTCATGGTGACTATATTAATAATAATCCTTGCTGACTCAAAAACATTGTAACAAAAATACAGCTATAAGCTAAAACTGGATATGTAATACTTCAGTACAACAGCAAACAGATTGATACAACTGATCTATGAGGGTCCATTTAGTTTGAAATTGTATTGAAGGCACCTATTGAAGGCAATGCTACATTTAGTAAATGGAGCAGAATAACCCCCATGTGTTCCGATGGATTGGCAAACACATGGAATACAGCTTTGAATAGGCAGATTCTGTTTGTAGGAAAGTAGTATAAGACAACTGCTAATATGTAGTAATGGTTGTCACTGTCAAGAGCTCTGGAACATTACTCAGCGTGGGGTGCCCTATATAATACAAGTTGTTGCACGTCTTGAAGACATGATAAGGTACTATATCAAATGCAAGGATTATTACTGTTATATATTATTGTATTTGTTAAATATAGGCTGAAAAATAAATCACATTTTAAAATCTATGTTATTTATTTATTTATTAAATACGCTTTGTTACTTAATAAATGTTATTTATTTTTCGCATTTAGTTATTCACATCATCGCACACTTGTTTAATATTGAACGATATCACAGGAGCTATTCACCTGGTGCCATGGAAAACTTACAAATCAGACTTTCTACCATTGGTCAGAACTGCAGTGAAGAATATCTGAATCCCATCAGAACATACAATACGGTAGGTTGTCTCTAAAAATAATTATAGCAAAGAATTAATAATTGCTCTAGCTTTAAAGAATTGCCAAAAAAAGGAATATTAATATGAAACATCCTCATCAAATAATAATATAAAAAAAATAATAATAATAATCTAGTCACTCAATCCCTGACTGTTTGTGTACACTGGTGTACGTAATTGACTGCTGCATTTCACCCACCAAATATACAGTCAATTTACTTCAGTGTATTCTGTGAAGTGCTTTGAGACGTCTCAAAGACGTAATAAAACGCTATATCAAATCCAACTATTATTATTAAATGCAAGGTTATTATTAATATTCAGCTTATGTCTTGTCTATCAGTTGCTCCTTCTGTGAAGTCGCTTGTTGTTCATGATAGGTTCCAGTAAATAAAATGACTGAGATTAGAGACATTATTGGAACATAATTACACCTTGAGTGTAAAATGTGACTATATCCTTATTTGACTCATTTTGCCTCATTCCTTGCCTTTCTAGAACCCAGTAAAAGAATTATTGAGTAGTATAGCAGGGATATCGGGCATCATCATTACAATGGCTCTCATTCTGATGGTAACATCATCTACAGAATTCATCATAAAGTCCTTTTATGAGGTGTTTTGGTTCACTCACCACCTCTTCATTATTTTCTTCATTGGCCTTGCTATCCATGGGGTAGGGTAAGTGTATTTTTTATTTCTTACCATGATATTAATGATAATTCAGAACAATGAATTTCAAGCTGTAAGGATTGTGGAAGAATCCTAGCATTAAGTAGAAATCCAGTTGTCAGTTGATTGGTGGATTGCTTTTCCGAGGATAATAATCCCTTCCAAAAAAAAATCACCCCCAAAAACTTGGTCACTCAATCCACAACTGTTTGCGGGACACTGCTGTTTGCAATTTTGGCTGCTGAGTTTTGTCCACAAATTATACAGTCAATTCACTTTACAGAATATTCTGTGAAGCGTCTCGAAGATGTGATAAGGTCCTATGTCAAATCAAGGATTATTATTATTATTATCAATAGCATTTTAAACAGGATTCTTTCACAACATTCTTTTTTTTTGAATAACAAATCCTTAAAATGCTATGAACACCATCAACTTTAATTAAGCGTTCATCTATTGCAGACGTATTGTTCGAGGACAAACCTCTGAGAGTTTACGAGACCACAATGTTACTTACTGCAAGGATCACCAGAAAGAATGGGGCGACATTCCACAATGCCCCATACCACAATTTGTTGGCAATGAACCAGTAGTACGTAATATATCTGTATTATTATGGGGTGCCAACTTATTTCGCCAACAAAATATACAGTCAATTCACTCTACAATATATTCTGTGAAGCGCTTATCACAGGTCACTCGTTTTCAAATCCCTTCATGCCCTTGAACCTCCCTATCTCTCCGATCTGCTTCCCCCCACCACTGCACCACCCGCTGCCTCCGCTTGACTGGCTCCAGCCTCCTATTTGTCCCTTGTCCCCTCCGCTCCACTATCGTGGCCGTGTCTTCAGCCACTATGCCCCGAAACTCTGGAACTTTTTCCCTCAATCCATCTGCCTTGCCCCCCAATCCCCACTCGCTTTCAAATTCCGCCCAGTCACTCCTTTTTGATCGTGCTTACAGTCACCTCCCCCCTCCCTCTCCCCCTGGCTCAGGGTCAGACTCTGCCCTGCCAAGCGCTCTGGGACTCTACTCCGTGTGAAGGGTGCTACATAAATTCAAGTTGTTGTTGAAAGGTGCTATATTATTATTATTTATTATTGTTATATCTTGTGAGTTATTAAGGTTGTCATTAATTTTCATAAACAGCAAATGTCGGAACTCTAGTTATGATTCGACCCCACCCCAATTTGACTCTTTTTCCAATTTTGGCCTCGTGTAAATGTTGGCCTTGGGTAAAGATAGTAACCTAAGATCAGACTGTGCTCCTATTGACATTAGGTACCCTGTTCGCTCCCTCTGCTCAGCGGGCTCCAGCTTGCTTCACGTCCGCCACTCTGCCCCACTCCATCCCGCAGTCCTTCCGTCTCGTCTCTCCCTCGCCACCTTCAAGACCCACCTCAAGACACCGTGCTTTTGATCTCCCTGCTTCCCCCCCCGCCCTCCCCACAGCCCCCCATCCCGACGTGAAAGGCGTTTTACAAATGTAATTTTGTTGTTGTTGCATAATTCTCTCGTGTTTACTCTTCAGGCATGGAAATGGATTGTGGGCCCTCTCTTCTTCTACATCTGTGAAAAGTTGATTCGCTTTTGTAGATCCATGCAAAACGTTGTCATTACCAAGGTAAAAGCTGCCTTGTATAATATTCCTGGAGAACTTGTTTCAAGGAAATGCTCATACAGTAGTATTGTATTTTGCTTTGGACTCACAAATCATCTCAGTACATTTAACTAGTACACTTCCCCTCCATTGTGGAAACCTACTGTACCTAGTAACTGGACCAATGAGCAGGACCAATAGAAAATTGGGAAATATTTGCCAAAATTTGCAGGGGAAATTTGCCAAAAATTGCTTGGAAATTTGACAATTTCTTGCGGGTAAATGTGACAAATTTTGTGGGAAATTGCTTGATTGGTGCTATTGAGTCACATTTTACTGTTAAAACTACTTATTTGTAGTTGTTTGGGGGAGGCCTGAGATGAGGCCCCAAGCCTAGTAGAGGAGTGAAAAGCCGAGCGAAGCGGTGGCGGGAATGTGATGCTTTCATTCACTTCATGCCCAGTGTCCAGAGAGACGTTAAAACAAACAAAACGTGGCCCTAAACTTATCCCAAAGGCTGCCCGCAATCGACGGTCACACTGATCTCTGAGCTAGTGGTGGTCTCAGTTTGACAAACAAATAAAACAGTCTATTGGCTATTTATAATTACCAAAGTTTAATGTGCTCAATTTCAGAACCAGTGTTCTTGTAGCCCTGCTTCTCATGTGATGGGAGCAGACCACTCCCACCACTTCCACCCATTCTCAATTACAATGATTCTCCAGCATTTTTGCTTGGTACAAGAATTATCTGGCTTACTCCCTCCATACCAGCTCACTATCTGGTTGCTCACATCCGAAGTCCTGTAGCTTAGTAGTTAGAGCACTTGCCGCTAAGCGAGAGGACCTGAGTTCGATTCCCAGGCAGCGCGAAACATTGGCAAGTTTCCATACTCCACACATGTCTGTTTACCCAGCAGTAAGTAGGAACCTGGTTGTTAGTCGATTGGCGGATTGCTTTCCGGGGTTAATAATCGCTTTAAAAAAGCTACTACGTCTAGAAGATGTGATAAGGTGCTATATCAAATGCAAGTATTATTACTAAGTGTTGTGTCTGGTTAACTCTTTGTCTTTGCTGCCAGATGTTATCAATATAATCAATGAACGAAACTTTGAGTACAGCATAACTCCTAATTTTGCACTATATTTTCATGTGCAGGTTATAGTACATCCTTCCAGAGTACTGGAGCTTCAAATGAAAAAACATGGCTTTCATAGTCATCCAGGCCAGTACATCTTCCTCCAATGTCCTGCAATATCTCACTTTCAATGGCATCCTTTCACTCTCACCTCTGCGCCTGAAGAAGAACATTTCAGTGTACACATAAGAACAGTGGGAGACTGGACAATTGCATTATATGAGGCCTGTGGAGCTAACAAAAAAGTTTTTCAGGAAGCATGGACGATGCCGAGGTACACACTTACTTGCTTTGCAAATGCACCCATCTTGGTAGTTTAATAATAATAATCCTTGCATTTGATCTAGTGCCTTATCAGGTCTTCGAGACGTCTCATATCACCTCACAGAATATACTGTAAAGTGAATGGACTGTATATTCTGTGGGCGAAACCTGGCAGCCAATTGCGCACAGCAGTGTCCCACAAACAGTCACGGATTTAGTGATCAAATTATTGTATTTATTTATTTTGAAGGGATTATTATCGACTAACAACCGGGCTCCGACTTACTGCTAGGTAACCAGAGACGTGTGGAGTAAGGAAACTTCCCAACATTTAGCCCTGCCTGGGAGTCGAACCCAGCTCCTCTCGCTTGCGAGGCGAGTGCTCTAACCACTAAACTACAGGACTTCATCATGTTCCGGATGCATTTCCATGAAACATCAAGTAATATACAGTCATACTTATACAGATAAGTAGGTCATGCCTCAGTTAAACGATAGGCACCATTTAAATACAATGCTTGAAGTAGAGCGATGTTCTACTGTGGAATTATGTTGCAAGCTTTACATTGCTTATACATACAACTGCAAGAATTATGACCTGATTAGCTGAAAAATACACTAAATTGAATTAACTAGCTTTTAATTTTTAGTAAAATGTATGTTGACAACACAGCCTTGTTCCTCTCATTTCACCGCATTTCACAATTAAAATTCTTCGTTTATGGCTATAATCAAATGAAATGAAATAACTGCATAACCCCATATCTATTCGCTCCCTCAGCTCAGCAAGCTCTGTCCTGCTCCAAGTCCCCCGTCCGACCTGCTCCACCACCAGTGGCCGGGTCTTCAGCCTCTCTGCCCCCACCCTTTGGAACTCCATCCCAGTCCCTTTGCCTCGCTCCCTCCCTTGCCTCCTTCAATGCCCGTCTCAAGACCATCCTTTTCGACCTCATCTTCGGCCTCCCTGCTACCCCCACCCTCCTGCTCTCCACCCCTCCTGATCCCAGCCCCCTGCTCAGATCCAAATCCCAGACTATCCAGCGACTTGGGACATCCTCCCCACGTGAAAGACGCTATACACATGTAATTTCTTGTTGTTGCATAAACAAGCTAAGTGGAAATGATGAGCACTGGTTATATGACAAATTTGTAAGTGACAAATGACATTCTGTCCTCTGCGACCGGGACTCCCTCTGCCTCCTCATCCTCCTGGACCTCTCTGCTGCTTTTGACACCGTCGACCACTCTATCCTCAACCACCGGCTCTCCTCTCACCTCAATTTCCACTGCGCTGTCCTTCACTGGTTCAGATCGTACCTCTCACACCGCCTGAACTTCATCTCCTCAAACGGCTTCTCCTCTAGCCTCTGGACCGTCTCGTGCGGCATTCCTCAGGGCTCTGTCCTTGGTCCCCTCCTCTTTAATATCTGTGTGCTCCTTCTTGGTGACATCATCCGCACACATGGGATCAACTTCCACATGTATACGGATGACACCCAACTCTACCTCTCTGCCTCCACCCTTGTCTCCAGGCCCACTGCTGTGCTGACAGAATGTCTGTCAGACATCAAGTCCTGGATGAGAGCTAACTTTCTTCAGTTGAACGTCAACAAGACTGAGGCTTTCCTGATTGGCTCCCGTCAGCACCTCCTCACCTCAGGCGCTGACAGCATCATCATCCATGGTTGCACACTCCACTTTGCCGGTCTGGAACCTTGGGGTCTTGTTTGACCCTCAACTATCCTTTATACCTCACATCTGCGCCATGACCCTCTCTGCCTTTCTTCACCTTCACGTCACCCGGCTCCGACACTGTCTCACACTGCAGACCGCCGAAAGCCTCATTACATCGAGGCTTGACTATGCAAACTCACTGCTTGTCGGCCTCCCCAACTCCTCCTTCCATAGGCTGCAGATCATCCAGAACTCTGCAGCCCGTGTCCTCTCCCACACGACCCTATCACCCCCATCCTTACCGAACTCCACTGGCTTCCCATCATACAGAGGATACAGTTCAAGATCAGCGGGTGGACCTTCCATCACTCTGCACCCACCCTCTGAAACTTCATCCCACAGGCCCTCCATCTCACCCCGTCCCTCACCACCTTCAAGACTCACCTCAAGACCTTCCTTTTTGACTGTGCTTTCAATCTCCCCCTCTGCCCTTCGCCCTCCCCCACCCCGACCCTCAGCTCGGGTCCGTAACTCTGTCTGTCCAGCGTCTTGGGACATCCTCCCGACGTGAAAGGCGCTATACAAATGTAATTATGTTGTTGTGATGTAGAACACACCAGGGCACTTTTGATGTCTTACAGAGTTGCAGTTGATGGTCCTTTTGGCACTGCAAGCAAAGATATGTTCTATTACGAAGTTAGTGTGTTCATTGCTGCAGGAATTGGAGTGACTCCTTTTGCCTCTGTGTTGAAATCCATTTGGTACAAGTACAATGACCTAAAGATGACAATGAAGGTAAAAAGGGTAAGTTCTCCAAGTGTTAAGTTCTACTTTCACAGTATCTCTGTGTTTTGTGAGGCCAATTGTTTTGGCACAGTGGACCATTGAATTGTTTACCATGAAGGCATTGCTGGCAGCGCACAAACATACAAAACAAACCTCTGATTTAAAAGAATACTTTGTTGAAGACTTTGGACGCGAATTAAAGTTGCTAAATTAAACTATATGGATTCTTAGTTTTCTTTAACCAGCAGTCAATGTACAGCTGCACCATAATAGTGTAATATATGTTTTTTAGGTGGAATGAATATGATAATATTCCTGTAATATTAATGGAGTCCTGTAGCTCAGTGGTTAGAGCATTCGCCCCACAAGTGGGTAGGGCGAAGCTTTAGGTAATTTTCCTTACTCCCCACGCCTGTTTACCCTGCAGTAAGTAGGAGTCCAGTTGGCAGATGTCTTTTTCAGGAGTAAGATGCTGGAAATCTGAAATAAAAATAGAGCTTGCTGGGAAAACTCAGCAGGTCAGGCAGCATCTATGAAGAGAGGAAAGTAGGTTAACATTTCAGGTCGATCACGTTTCGGATCGATGATCTTTCGTCTTTGACCTGAAACATTGACACAGTTTCCTCTCTCCATGGTTTGTTGGCAGAACTTGGCAGGGCAGACTAGTCTTTGGAAATCAAGCATTCTTCCCACTTGGTTCCTGTTACTCCTGGAAGCCAAAGTAGTCATGAGTAGGATGATCCTTGCTGAACAAACACCGGGCAGGTGGCAAGACCATCCTGAGAATGATGGCGATTTTTTTCTTTTGTATCAAAAGGTCTATTTTTATTGGATCTGCCGGGACACTAATGCCTTTGAATGGTTTGTTGATCTTTTGCAATCCCTGGAAGCACAAATGATTGAGATAGGCAAGAGTGGCTTCCTGAGTTATCACATCTTTCTCACTGGTTGGGATGAGTTTCAGGTGGGTAAAAATTTAATGACTTCCTCAATCCCTCCGTCTTGCCCCCTCCCTCCTCACTTTCAAATCCTGCATAAAGACCTTCCTTTTTGATCGTGCTTACCTCCCCCTTCCCCTAACTCGAAGTCAGATTTAGCCACTGTTAAGCGCTTCAGGACGCTACCCTGCATGAAGGGTGCTATATAAAAGCAAGCTGTTGTTGTTGTTATGTTGTACTGGGGGTCATTTTCATACCTTGATTATGAAAGGTTTGTTTATGGTAATTGGCAAGGAAGTCATTTCAACAAGCACTCTGAGCTTCTGCCCTGTCGATCTGATTTGCCTGAATGCTGTAATATTTGCCCCAGACTAGTGTTCAAACCATGCAATGGAATGTATCACAGTCAACAAATTTTTGAAGCTCAGAAGGATTTATTAAATCATGTCTATATTGGATACTGTTGTTGGTTTCCCCCATGAATTGTGTTCCATAGTCTCACTGCTCGAGGACACTATAGAGCTGAAATGCCTGTTGGGTGTACATTGTGATACATCATAAGATGGGGGGATTCTCAATAGTGACTTTCATTGCCAAACACACATGTAATGCCCACCATAATATCAGCTCATGATTGGGGTCAAGGGGTGGGGGGTGGGGTGGAAGAGGCCGATGTGCACAATCAAAGCTTTCAAAAGAGGAGGGAAGGAAATTAGAGAGGGCACAAATAAACCATACTTTTATATGCAGAAGTGTATATCTGATAAATCTGAGACTATCATATACAGGAATATATGTGTGTGTTGCGAAGGGAGCACTGTTCAGCAGAAGTCTTGTGAAAGGCTGAATTGTACGTAAGATAATGAAAGGATGGCATCTTGGATTTTTTGGAGTAAACCACTGCTTTTTAATGTGATTCTAGATCAGATGGGTTGTCTGGGTTACTTACATACAACACTTATGTAGAATGGACTGGATTACTTGGTGACATCCAAGTTTAGATTTGCTAGTGAAGGGATTAACAAAGCCTTTTGAGTTCAAATTTTGTAAAAACCCAGCTGCGTTATCTTATCCCCTTCGCCCCGATGAAAGCTTGGCTCTCGTTCTGTTGCAGGCTGCTCACATTGCCATGCATTTCAAAGGTAACCAAGATGTTATCACAGGACTGAAACAGAAGACTTTCTATGGCAGGCCGAACTGGAACAAGGAGTTCAAACATTTTGCTGGCGATCACCCTGGGTAAGGACCTTTACTGCTTTGATGGTCTGGAGATTAAGTAATTAATGTATTTTGGCAATAAGTTAGGATGCTTGTCTATCTTTAGAACAAACACATAAAAGATTTCAAAAAAGCTAGAGCTATATCAAAGTGCCAGTGTGCTTTATTCCTGACTTTAATTGCCAGAGTGCGGAGTGCAGGTTTCATTGCCTTGCTCCGCTGAGTTCCCAGCCTTAGCGGACACTGAGTGGAGACTGGGTGTCTCTGTGAGAAAGAAGAAAAATGGAGAGCTATTTGGTGCCAGTCTGTTTTCAAATCCTGTTTGTCCCTGGTCCCCTCTGCTCCACCATCCGTGGCGGTGCCTTCAGCCACTACGCTCCAAAACTCTGGGACTCTCTCCCTCAATCAACCCCGCCCTCCTCACTTTCAAAACCCAACTGAAGACCTTCTCTTTTATGACTGTGCTTTTCTGGGGTAATAGTCCCTTCAAAAAAAAATTATAATAATTTGGTCATTCAATCCATGACTGTTTGTGGGACACTGCTGTGTGTAATTGGCTGCCAGGTTTCGCCCACAAAATATAGTCGATCCACTTTATAGTATACTAGCTGTACCTGTTGCAGCTATGCTTGCAACCAAAAGATCCTATATGGAATGTAGCTGTGTACACCTTAAGCAAAATTACCATACATGTGCGATGAGTTTATTTGCATCATAGCTCATCAACGATAGAAGATCCTATCAAAGCTACGCTGACAGATATTCTCAATATAATGGCTATCATCTGATTCAGTCTCTGCCTGGATCATAGTTGAGTGCAGCTAAATGGAGTGACCTCTGCTGACGGGCGTCATTTTGCCATGTTCTTGTCTACCTTTTCTGTGTCGAAGTCCAGCCGAACTGTTGTTTGAGGAGGCAACTCAATTTGCTGTGCTCGTGCAGTCCTTTCAGTATTCAAGTCCAGCTCTGCTGTTCTTTGAGCAGGCAACTCATTTTGCCATGTTCTTGCATGGCTTTCAGGGTCAAAGTCCAAATGTGCTGTTGTTTGTGCTTCAGTTTTGTTTAATCGGCCTTTTTTCTTTTGTCTGTCATTTTTATTTGTCATTGAAAGGCTTGATCTTCGCTTCTTAGGCATCTTCGTCCCTTAACATTAAGAAAATGTGCTATTGAGAGGACTCCTATGGGAAGACTCAGTAGGAGGACTCCTGGTTGGGAAGCCTCCTTGTTGGGAGTCCATACATGTGTAATGAGTTTGTTTAGGTCATAGCTCATCAAAGACAGGAGATCCCCGAAAAATAATATGCCCATGGCACTCCTCCTCACAAGACTTTTCCGATTAGGCATAAATCATGTTTATTGCATTATTGGTGGACAAACAGACAAACATTTTGGCTTTATTATAGATTCTATGAAGTGTTTTGAGGCGTACTAATGATGTGATAAGGCGCTGTATCAAATAATATAATTATTATATTCTGTTGGCAGATGTTTATTATGTTGTACTTGGCTGCTGTTCCATCAATATTTCATCAACTCTGCTCCAGTTATGCAGAGCATGGAGGTATTAATAACTATGCTTTGACCCGAGCAATACAACATGCTATTGTTCAGTACCATCACTTTCTCTGCATCTCTATCTTTCCCTTTCCTGCAGTGCCAGTATCGGTGTATTTTTCTGTGGACCCAAGGCCCTCTCCAGCGTTCTCCACAAGATGTGCAACCTTTACTCGTCTGCTGACCCAAGAGGAGTCCATTTCCACTACAATAAGGAGAATGGCTAAGTGCCATGGAACGTTTCAATAGCATTTATTTTCAACCAGTTCATTAATTTCACATTTGCCGTTGTATCAGTAAGAATAAATTAGCAGACTTAAAATTAGCCAGCGGTAATTTAATACACTTCCTGCTACGTCATCGAATGCTGCTACGTCATTGAATGCTGACTTTCAAATAGATCACATATTCCAAAGAATGGGTATTATTAATGGCATTGTGTTAGGCGTGTTGCAGAGCATATTCAGCATACAAGAATATTCATTTGTCTATATCATGATCCTGTATTGCTAATGCTTTTTTTAACCAATAAAGTTCTGTTTATTGTTGTTTCACAGAATTCGATACCAGTTCCCGAGAATTGATACCTGCTTTTTAATTATTTTTACATAATAGGCACTATATGAATGCAAGTTATTATTGTTCCTTGTTAATGTAATTTATATTGAAAGTACTCTCTCTAGATACTGGAACTGAAAACAAATGCAGGGACATCGGACGTTTTGGCCAAGGAAGCACCAAATAATAATAATCCTTGCATTTGATATAGCGCCTTATCACGTCTTCTAGAAGTCTCAAAGCGCTTCACAAAATATATTCTAAAGTGAATTGTCTGTATATTTTGGGCGAAACATGGCGGCCGATGGCGCACAGCAGTGTCCCACAAACAGTTGTGGATTGAGTGACCAAATTATTATTTTTTTTGAAGGGATTATTAGTGGAGTCCTGTAGCTCAGTGGCATGCAGCCCTGTTGTTCAGTGGTTAGAGCACACCTCACAAGCGAAAAACCTGGGTTCAATTCCCGTCAGGGCAAAATCGTGCGCAAGTTTCCTTACTCCATACGCCTGATAATAATCCCTCAAGAAAAAAAAACAATAAATTGGTCACTTAAATCCATGACTGCTTGTGGGACACTGATGTGTGCAATTGGTTGCTGTGTTTCGCCCATAAATACAGTCAATTCACTTTACAGTATATTCTGAGGCGTCTAGAAGACGTAAAAAGCACTATATCAAAATGCAAGGATTAGTATTATCAACTGACAATTGAGTTCTTACTTGGTAAACAGAGGAGTGTGGAGTAAGGAAACTTACCCAACGTATCGCCCTGCCCAGGAATCAAACCAGGTCCTCTCACTTGTGAGGCAAGTGCTCTAACTACTAAGCTACAGGACTCCACAATAATGAGCATCTATGAAGTGGTGGGCTCCATATTCTTTTCTGCTAATACACATGACTGAGTAGAGGAACTACAGGTTAACATATGGTTGATGATAGCCTGAATGGTTTGCGACACTTGGTACAAGTTTAGAAAGGAAGACTTTTTCCAAAATAGCGCATTTTCTGTATTGCCAAGCAGATATGAAAAAGTATCCCAATCAACCTATTCTGGTATCCCAAGGTACAAAAGCTAAACATGAATATAAATTTCAATAGCTCAAAGATAAATATGTTGAGAGGAAAGCAAGGTGGTTCTGTAATATTTCTGAGCAATGTTTGATACTTTCACCTGGAGCTTAATGAAAAGGTGATGACATCCATGCAAATATTCATCTGTCATCTGTCATATCTGTGGCATTTGTTACTACTTTCAGCTATGCAGCTATTTGTTTTTGGTCAGTCGGGTGTCTGACAAATGCGGAAACCCATACCAAACTAGGAATTCCATGCTTCCCATGAGATAGATTGTTGGAATGGAATCAATGGTAGAGCCAGATTTCAGAATATAGTAATAATAATCCTGGCATTCGATATAGCACCTTATCACATCTTTGAGACGTCTCAAAGCGCTGCACAAACTCTGCTCCCAGTGACTGGTCTGCCATTCCAGGTCCTGCCGATGGTCTGGGCTGTGCGGTCATCAGCAGTGCCCTGGAATACTGCGGACCCTCCTGGCTCAGGAACTGGGCTGGAGACAGAAGACATTCCCACATTCCATTCCCAGGCTCGTCACCTTGGGGCCAGTTCAGCTCCAATGAAATCCCACTTACCTCCGCTCCGCCCCCCCCCATTAACAAGGGTTACAGTAACTCAAAATTCTGCCGACCACATACTCACCCGCACTAAACTCCGTTCCCCCTCACGCCAGTCCTGGTCAGGCTCCACCGGCTCCGTCACCAAACGGATTGATTTCAGGATCCTCACACTCGTTCTGAAATCCCTCCGACCCGGTTACCCCCCGACCCAACCCACAATCCGCCGCCTCCGCTCGACTGGCTCCGGCCCACTTCACGTCCCTCGTGCCCTCCGTTCCACCGTTGGCCACTGAGCTTTCAGCCACTACGCCCTGAAACTCTTCCTCTCTCCCTCCGCCTCGCTCCTTCCTCCCGATCGTCAGGTCAGGCCTGAAGACCTTCCTCTTTGACCGCGCCCTCGGTCACCTCCCGCCGGCTCGGGGTCGAGCTCCCACACTCCCCTGCCTGAGGGGTATGTAAATGCTATTTGTTGTTGTTGTTGCTCCTCACAGGTCACATTAAACCACACCCCCCCTCCCTCCCCCGCCCTTTGCGGGCTGCGCGCGCATCCAACCGCCAGCCAGCCGGCACGTGCTCGTCCACGCCAGGAAGTCCCGCCCACCCTCCAGCAGCCAGCCCGCTGATTGGCCGTTCAACGCAGTCCCCGATGTTATGAGTGGGCAACGAACCTGTCAATAAATCAGTCAGTCAGTCAGGAGGTCGCGACGTGGGGGCGGCGGCGGGTAAGGAAAGGAGAGAGAGAGTGTGAAAGGGGGGAAGAAAAGAAGAAAGAAACAGAAAGAAAGGGTGGGGAGTGGAGAGTGGAGAGGAAGGTGGGGTTTCGGGGCCGTTACGAATCGTAACGGAGGGTTGAAGTAGGTTTGCATATTTTCTTGTTTGGGTTATTTATGAGGAAAGTGGGATATATTCAATAGAAAGAAAGGGGGGAAAGGTGGGGGGAGGTAGAGAGGAGGGTGGGGTGGGGGGGAGATGGAGAGGTAGAGAGGAGGGTGGGGGGAGGTAGAGAGGAGGGTGGGGTGGGGGGGAGGTGGAGAGGAAGATGGGGGGAGATAGAGAGGAAGATGGGGGGGGGAGCGGAGAGGTAGAGAGAAAGGTTGGGAGAGAGAGAAAAAGCGGTCTCCATGCTTACTTAGGGTTACCTCCTCTTTCTCACTGGCTCGGTGTCAAATTACGCTGTGGTTAAGCACTCTGGGCCTCTATCCTGGATGAAGGGTGCCATCTATGTGCAAGTTGTTGTAAAGCTTTGCATTTAGTATATTGCCTTTCATCTCAAAGTTTTAGTGTAAATCACAGGATTTACACTAAAACCCGGCTGGCTGGACCCATTGGGGGCTGGGGTTCTGGTCTGGCAAACCGGTATATCTGCAAAGTGTCATTTACAATGCCAGTACCAGCACTTACCAGCTTTTTGGTGCTGGCTTTTTTCAGCTCTGAAAAATACCAGTACCGGCATTGTAATTGCTTGAATTTTGCTTCTGCTTGTGAGATTCAAACTGAGAGTCATATCCTTACCAACTGAAGGCCAGCAAAGATGGTGAAGTGGGGGGCACGAGTTAGGAGTGGGGCCGGCAGGGGTCTACTCACGTCAGCTCACAAGTAGTCCCTTCAAAAAAAAGTAATTAAAAAACATAGTTTGGTCATTCAATCCACGACTGTTTGTGGGACACAGCTATTGCGTTTTGCCCACAAAATAGATAGTCATTGCACTTTACAGTGTATTTTGTGAAGCATTTTGAGATGTCTCAAAGATGTAATAAGGTGCTTTATCAAATGCAAGGATTATTATTAATGATTCCATGTTCTGGATTCCTTTATCATTGAGAAGATTCATTCACAGTAGATTATATAGGATCAAAACTTTGATCTGTTTGCACTATTTTCTGAGCATAATGTTCTCAACTGAATTTAGTCCAGCTCAGAAAATGAGGGTACATAGTGGCTGTTTAGTTTAATGTTTATAAGATGAATCAGTTCAATTATAATATTGAGGTCCTGAGTCAAATGAAAATATGCAAAATAGAATTTTCACCCCCTTTTTGTAAAATCTTTGGCAGTGGTATTCAATTCGGAGATTTTGAAAAGTTGCTGCTGACATCCCAACCCCAACATAATCCCCAAGTATTCTGAATACAATAATCAAACTGTTTGGTAACTTTTTTTTCTATACAAGTCTCAAGAATTGGAATATGGCAACGGGAAAAATTGCATCTTTCCGATTACCACCTCTTCCCACGATCGGAGAAATTATAAAGTTGTATAAACTCAGAGCTGAAAAGCAACTCTCTCAGAACTTCCTGTTGGATTTAAGACTGACAGGTAACCTAAAGGATTTGTATTTTTGCCCCATCATTGTGTTTTTTTTATCGATTGCTTATTCATACTCTTGTGGATGCTTCATACAAGTGTATCTTACGTATCCCTAGCAGTAAGTAGGAACCTGGTTGTTAGTCGATTGGCGGATCGCTTTTCCGGGGATAATGATTCCTTCAAAATAAACAATAATAATTTGGTCACTCAATTCACAACTGGTTGTGGGACATTGCTGTGCGCAGTTGGCTAGTGTGTTTCGCCCACAAATATACAGTGAATTCACTTTACACTATATTCTCTGAAGCACTTTGAGACGTCTAGAAGCCGTGAAACACGCTATATCAAATGCAAGGATTATTATTTCTTTTGCGCACCAGTGCTCCTACAGTGTTTTTAACCATGATTTTATATTGTGATATAATTAACCTGTTACTATCAATATACGGTATTCAATTGCTATAATAATGTTGCTGCATCTAATGCATGCTAAATAGTGAGAAGTGTTCATTGTCAATGTCCATTAAATAAATATTGCGAAATGGCTTTTAGTCTGATCCAAAAATTGTACTGTGAGTGTGAAAATTGATGTATTGCTAACGTCACTATATGACTGGAATCAGTTTTTCTTTGGTCAGCTGGGTGTCACCAAGGCTTGGGGACCCCAGAGTGTGTACTGGGGTAGCTGCTGGAGTCTAACCAGCTAAACCCGCATGCTTGTCGTTGATATTGCTGTCCAGCAAGCTTTCCTGCTGCTTGTCAAACTAGGACCATCCTACCTGTTAGGGCTTTGGGTTGCAGAATTAACAGGAGCTGAGTGGGATGACTCCCTGGTCCCAGTGACTGCTCTGCCCTTCCAGGTCCTGCCGATGAGCCAGGCTGGCTGTGCTGTCATCAGCAGTGCCCTGGAATTAGCCTGGTTCCTACCTCTTGCTCAGCACTTATGTTGCACTTTAAGATCGCAGCTTAGGTTCACTTTTACTGTCTTGACAAACTAATTTTTGCTGCCAAAGTAAGTTAAAGAGTGTGCACTAACTATGTGTTGTGCAGTTTTCAGTGGCAATATGTTTCTCATGATTTTGCTTCTTGCTGGTGACAGCAGAATATTTCCTCGAGTGAGTCCTAGCTTCTTGTTACAAATTAATGTTTCCTTAAGATGACTCATAAATAATAATAATCCTTGCATTTAATATAGCGCCTTATCCCATCTTCTAGACGGCTCAAAGCGCTTCACAGAATATACTGTAAAGCGAATTGACTTTGGGGGCGAAACGCGGCAGCCAATTGCGCACAGTGGTGTCCCACAAACAGTCGTGGATTGAGTGACCAAATTATTAATTTTTATTGAAGGAATTATTACTCACAGAAAAGTGAGTAAAAACCGGGTTCCTACTTGTTGCTTGGTAAACAGGGGTGTGTGGAGTAAGAAAACTTACCCAACATTTTGCCCCGCGGCGAATTGAACCCAAGTGGTTCGCTTGCGAGGTGAGTGCTCTAACCACTGAGCTACAGGACTCCATAGACACTGCAGTTTCAGAGGAAGTTAAATATGTGATGGCTTAAATTTCTTTTTTGTGTTGGATAAAAAGCCTATTTATATAAATGGATGTATGCATAAAAGTGTACAAATGTATTTGTAGCTAAAGTAGTTAGAGATCATGTATGCTTTTTGTTTGTCAATACAAGTAAAATCCATACATTCTTCCAATAGTGAATGTTATTTTTGAAGCTTTGCAATTTTATAAGCTGATTGTTTAATTATTGTCTGATTCACAGATAAAATTGTCCGAAATGCTGGGAGTTTAAAGGACTCGTATGTTTGTGAAGTTGGCCCAGGTCCAGGTGGCATCACCCGATCAATTCTCAATGCTGGTATTACCCAACTGCTGGTGGTGGAAAAGGACACCAGATTTATTCCTGGGTTGCAGGTAAGGCTTTGTTCAACGATGACTGTTATTACAGACAAGATGGCTAGTACAAAAGAGTAAAAGGCAAAACACTGCAGTTGCTGGAAATCTGAAATAAAAAGAGAAGTTGCTGGGAACACACAGCAGGTTAAGCAGCCTATATGGAGAGAGAAAAGTGAGTTAACGTTTTAGGTCGATGACCTTTTATCAGAATTCGTATTCGACCTGAAAATAACTCATATTCCGCTTCTGTTTTTGTACAAAAGAGTAGCCTGATTGGTTTGTGACACAAAAATTAGGCAAATTTTAAGTGAATGTTGCAACTTCACCAATGTCTTGATGTGCATAAATAATGTATGTAGTGATATAGCAATTGTTAAAAATAGCAATCATATGTTTATCATGTTTATTAATGAACCCCACTAAGTCATACAGACAATAAGGTTGCTTATCTCAGCCATGGGGGAAAAGTGGCAGCCAGTGTCCCACAAACAGTTGTGGATTAAGTACCTTTTTTAGGGTTTATTAACCCCGGAAAAGCGATCCGCCAATCGATTAACAGTCAGGTTCCTACTTACTGCTAAGTAAACAGAGGGCGTGGACTAGGGAAACTTGACCAACATTTCGCCCTGTCCGGTAATCAAACCCAGGTAGTGTTCTAACCACTAAGCTACAGGACACCCCTGAGCTACAGCTCTAACCACTGAGCTATAGGACTTCAGATGATTTCATGTATCATTCGTAGGACAGCACATCCAACGATGCCAGTTAGAAAGAAGTTGTAATGTTAGGGCAGCTACTATGTTAGGGCAATCATTATACTGTGAAATGTTGTTAAAAGATTAGTATTCTGTAACCTAATGATGTGTTTTCAGTTGTTGGCTGAAGCAGCTCCTGGGAAGATGAAGATTGTTCACGGAGACATTCTGACCTATAAAATGGAAAGGGCTTTTCCAAAGGAACTTCAAACTGAGTGGAAAGATGGTAAGAGGTATTTTGTTGTATTTCCAATAAGATAATACTCAGAACTGATTCTGTTTCAAAGGGGGAACGAAAAGACAGATTGCAAAAAACATTTCATTTTTTCAGGTTGTGTTATATGGATATAATATGTTATATTGTGGAGTCCTGTAGGTTAATGGTTAGAGCACTCGCCTCATAAGTGAGAAGACCTGGGTTCGATTCTTGGGCAAGGCCAAACTTTAGGCAAGTTTCCTTACACCACATGCTTCCGTTTATCTAGCAGTAAGTAGGAATCTGGTTGTTAGTCGATTGACGGATTGCTTTCTGGTAGTTATAAACCTTCAAAAAAATTAATCAGTACATTTTAAAAATAATAATAATTTGGTCATTTCATCTACAACTGCTGTACACAATTGGTTGATGTGTTTTGCCCACAAAATATAGTCAATTCACTTCACAGTATATTTTATATATTTGAGACATCTCAATGATGTGATAAGGCGCTATATCAAGTGCAAGGATTATTATTATATAGTCACTTGGATGATGCTATTACATTTTATTTAATATTAGTTCTGTTTTTATTCTGAAAGCAAGACTAGTTTGGGGAAGACCATTATAAGTGTTAATCTTGTTTTAAGTGTAAAAAGGTTAAAAACGACTCTTTAAAATGTTATGAATAGGTCCACCAAACGTGCACATTATCGGTAACCTTCCATTCAATGTTTCCACTCCACTCATCATCCGATGGCTGGAAAATGTGGCAAACAAGACTGGCCCTTTTTTCTATGGGAGAACACAGATGACACTAACGTTTCAAAAGGAAGTTGCAGAGGTAAGAGGTGGTGCTTCTTCTGTTCATTATAGGACTGCACAGGAGCAGAAACAAAGTGTGTGTTTAAAAAAAAAATAATAATAACTTAAAAATCTATATTATCTCTTATATTTCTGAAGCTTAATTTCTTGTTCAAATAGCTATCTAATTTTCTTAATTTGTTCGTACAATTTGCCTTCCTGGGTAGTCTATTCCACATTTTCACCATCCCGAACTATACCCATAAGGCCAATTTAATGTTTATTTCTTAGGTAAGTCATCTATAAGATAAAACTCACAATTGTTTAAAATTTACTGAATTGTAGATATTGTATTTTTAATATAAATTTGCTGTAAGAAGAATGTGTTTAACTTATTTTCATTTTCTGTTACTTTCCTAAAAAGGAACAAAAAAGCTTCAGGACTCCACGTGGAGTCCTGTAGCTCAGTGGTTCGAGCACTCGCCTCTCAAGCGAGAGACCTGGGTTTGATTCCCAGCAGGGCAAAACTTTGGGCAAGTTTCCTTACTCCACACGTCTAATAATAATCCCTCAAGAAAAAAAAAACAATAATAAATTGGCCACTTCAATCTACAGCTGCTTGTGGGACACTGCTGTGCGTAATTGGCTGCTGCGTTTCGCACACAACTATACAGTCAATTCACTTTACAGTTTATTCTGTGAAGCGCTTTAAGACGTCTAGAAGACGTGAATAGCGCTATATCAAATGCAAGGATTATTAACAACAACAACTTACATTTGTATAGCGCCTTTCACGTCGGGAGGACGTCCCAAGGCGCTGGACAGTCAGGGATTTGGACCCGAGCTGTGGGTTGGTTAATTCCAATGCAATACAATGTTGAACAATGCTAGAAGTGCAATATTGTGCCTCTGATTTAAATGTGAGCTTTGCTGCAAAAGATGGCTTGATAATTGAACTGAAGTAGCTGAGGTAGAACGTTGATATTTTGAAGCTGTAGGGTTTCTTAAATTTATGACCCTGCGATGAAGTATGAACTAACACAAACTCTCAATTTGCTTTTCTTTCGGTCAGCCACATGCAGAAACCCATCACCGTGCTTAAGAGTATCCAAACCAAGCTGAGATTTCCATGCATCCCACCAACACATGGAAATTCCAGTGATAGATTGTTGGAATGGAATTCCCACTCTCTCCCTGGGGGACACATCCAGCTTACCTAGTTCTGGAAAGTATTAATCACAGGTTGCCAAGAGCTGAGTATGCGTTGGGGTAACTGCTGGGGGTTTAACCAGCTAAAACTGCATAGCTTGCCATTGATATTGCTGTCTGGCAAGCTTTCCCACTGGTTATCCAGCTAGGAGCACCAAATCTGTTAGGGCTTTGGCTTACAGGGTTAACAGGAGCTGAGTGGGATGACTCCCTGCTCCCAGTGACTGGTCTGCCCTTCCAGGTCTTGCCAATGAACTGGGCTGTTCTGTCATCAGCAGTGCCCTGGAATACTGTGGACCCGCCTGGCTCAGGAACTAGACGGGAGACTGTCACAGAGGATTGGCTTGATTCAGCTCCAAGGAGACGCAACTTAATTTGCTTCAATAAGTAATTTTTTTAATAAAGATTAGCAAGGTCGTAGATATCAAGGTCATACGTTTCATATATTCGAAAATTCCGTATAGGTTGGTACAGTTCACTGCAATAAGTTGATCAGACCAATACAGTGATGGAGGAATCGACTTGTTAACTTAATGCATAGATCAATTTGATTGTAGTATCTTTCTGCTATAACAATGTTATTGAGAGTCCATAGAGTCGGCTCTATTTCATTAGCAAAATAAGTCCAGAGTCTTTGCAATTTTCTTTGGTCAACTTAAAACAACCCGGAATTCTGGGATTGTTTTCAAAGCTAAAGCTGAAAAGCAAGTTTTAAACTTTTTGGAAAAAAAAGTTTAAGAAGGTCCTGAGCTTCTGGGATGCTACCCAGCGTGAGGGGCGCTATGTAAATACAAGTTGTTGTATTAATGCTATCCATAATGAGTCTAATCCACAACAAGTGGAGTCCTGTAGCTCAGTGGTTAGAGCGCTCGCTTTACAAGCGAGAGACCTGAGTTCAATTCCAGGCACAGGGCGAAACCTTGGGCAAGTTTCCTTACTCCACACAGAGCCTAATAATCCTCCAAAAAACAAAATGATAATAAATTGGTCATTTTCAATCTACGACTGTTTGTGGGACATTGCTGTGCGCAATTGGCTGCCGCGTTCGCCCACAAATATAGTCAATTCACTTTACAGTGTATTCTGTGAAGCGCTTTGGGACGTCCTCCCGACGTGAAAAGCGCTATATCAAATGCAAGGATTATTATTATTATATTCAGCTGAAACATGACTGATTGTATCTGTCTAGGATGTGATTCAGTAGATGTTTTTGGTTTTGTGTTAAATGTACTATTATGGTTCATGCACACTTGCCACTGCATTCCAGTTGCTTACAGGTTTATTATTGGTTTTAATCATTGTTGCTTGTTTCTTTTACAGCGCCTTATAGCTAGCACTGGCAGTAGGCAAAGAAGCAGACTGTCCATAATGGCTCAGTACTTGTGTAATGTGAAGAGCTGCTTTATGATTCCTGGCAGAGCCTTTGTTCCAAAACCTAAGGTAAGGCTTTGCACGATACTTTCAACATCAGACCTAGTTGGCATTGCGCCAGAAAAGTACATTTATAAAGGATTCCTCAAACATTTTCTCAACCTTTTGAGAAAATATCTAATCTTGATGTGTAGGTCACCGCTCTAAGATGAAGAGATCTCATTGTTGCTGTGCTCAGGGGAAGTTGCAGAGTGAGGGATAGGGATGGAAAATCACCTCAGGCATGCTACTACAGCAGTCAGTTAGATTGGGACATCCAGTGCTTGCCTTCAGCTTGTTTCAGATGCAAGGATCTAGTAAAAGGTAAAGGGAGAAAATGTTAATATACGATACCTCCAGTTCTGCTCCAGTAAAGGGTTAGTTTTAATAATTCTTGTCTTTATTACAGCCTCCTACTACACTGAAACATGTCAAGTTGCTTTACACAATGGAGTGGTGCTATGAGCAGTTGTATGTCTAGTGCATTTCGATGAAGTGAACTTGTAATGATTTTGAATAATTCACAGACATCATCACAATATATTAAATATACTACCCAAAATCCCGAGTTACTTTAGTGACTGTTGTTGAGAAAAATTTGGCAACTAAATTGTGTCAGCAACTAAACTGTGCCAACATCTCCCCATCAAAAGAAATCAATGACAGTTGAATGTTTTTTGTTGAATCATAGAATTTTACAGCACAGAAGGAGGCCAATCGTGCTTGTGCCGGCTCTTTGAAAGAGCTACCAACTAGTCTCACTTCCCCTTCTTACCTCAGCATTTTTTTTCCCTTTTTAAGTACCTATATTCTCTTTTGAAATCAATCAGTGAATCTGCTTCCACCATCCTTTCAGGCAGTGCATTCAGACCGTAACAACTGTTTAGGAAGTGGATTACATGAGAACATAAGAATTAGGAGAAGGAATAGGCCATTCGGCCCCTCGAGCCTGCCCTGCCATTTGATAAGATCATGGCTGATCTTCTGACCTGACTCTTAATTACCTGCCCTATCCCCATATCCCCTAATCCCTCTTTTTTAAAACTCTTATCAGTCTCAGCCTTGAAGATGTTCAAGGACTGAGCATCTACAGCCTTCTGAAATTCACTACCCTCTGAGTGAAGAAATGTTTCCTCAATTCTGTTCTAAAAGGCTGACCCATTAAATTTTAAGACTGTGACCCCTGGTTACAGATTCTCCTACCAGGGGAAACAGTCCCTCAGTGTCTACTTTATCCAACCCTTTAAGAATCTTATATGTTTCAATAAGATCTCCCCTAATTCTTCTGTACTCTAGAAAATATAGCCCTAGTTTATTCAGCCTATCCTCATAGGTCAGTCCTCTCATCCCAGGAACTAACCTCGTGAATCTACACCCCCTCTAGGGAAAGTATGTCCTTTTTTAAATACGGAGACCAAAACTGCACACAATACTCTAGGTGTGGTCTCACCGAGGCCCTATACAGTTGCAGCAAGACTTCCCTACTCTTGTACTCTAAATCTTTTGCAATGAACATGCCGTTTGCCTTCTGAGTTGCTGCTGCACCTGCAAACTAACTTTTTGAGACTGGTGTACAAGGACACCCAAATCCCTCTGAACACTAACACTATCGAATCTCTCCCCCTCTAGAAAATAATCTGATTATAGTAATATACAAGTAATATTACTTTTTAAAAGTAAGATTAAAGTAATATGGATATAGATTATAGTAATATGCTGGACAGTGTTTGAACTGAAACATTAATTGAGACACATTTTTGAAGTATTATTTAAAAATAATTAACTAACTCTTTTGACTCGGTACTTTAGTAATTTTGATTAAATCAAACATTTGATTCCAATTTCCGGGAGCCATAAAACCATAGAAATTTGCAGAAGAAGGCCATTTGGCTCATTGTATCAGTTGGCTCTTTTAAACGGTAATCCTTTCAGTCTCATCTTGCTATCAGCTCAGGGCGGACAAAACCTTAGGTACGTTTCCTTACTCCACACGTCTTAGTTTACCTGGAAGTAAGTAGGAACCTGGTTATTAATCGATTGGTGGATCACTTTTCCTAAGGTAATCATCGCTTCAGAATAAATTAATAATAATTTGGTCACTCAATCCATGACTGCACAATTGGCTGCTGCATTTTGCCCACAAAGTATACAAGTCAAATCACTTTACAGTATATTCTGTGAATCGCTTTGAGACGTCTCGAGGATGTGGTAAGGCTCTATATCAAATGCAAGGATTATTATAAATAAATAAATGCTTGATGTGCTATCGGAGAAACTACCACTCAAAGGTAGATTATTAAATATAACATGCTGCATTCATTTTGTAAACTATAATGGTGCTCACATTCGTGGTTAAAGATAAAAATTCTGGGAAAAATATTTTATAAATTCCTTGCACTTTAAAACATGTATGGTATACCATAGGGATGATAGAGAGCAAACCATTCATAGAATTTTATAGCATTTGGCCTATCGTGCCTGTGCCGACTCTTTGAAAGAGCTACCAACTAGTCCCATTGTAAAGTATCTTCACAGGCACACATGTATAATAGGACTGTTTTACATGAAATTCCCCATCTGCTTAAATTTACGAAAGTTACCATTCTTGACCACAGCTAATGTCAGTAGCAGAACTTAAAATCTTTTGACCAAGACCCAAGAGTATTCTTGTGAGAATTCTGTAGAATGTTTTTTTAAAGTAAACAAATCTCATAACAACTACTATACATTTTCTGGTCACTCCATCTTCTAGGTTTGATAAAATAGTCCTGATTCAAACCCAGGACTCTTGAATTTATTTTTTAAAACGCATACTTTTTCAGGGTAAACATAAACACTTATCAAAAGGATCATCATTTAATGTTTAGCAGTACAATAATTTGGTAGTAACTTATCATGGAGTGTATGATTTATACAGAGCTAATTTAACTAGCTGATTTAATTTCACTTGGGAAGAAGAGAAGCACTAGTGTGAGATTGTCCAGACACAACTTTTTAATTTTAATTATGTAATTGAAATGAATCTTAAATCCTTGTTTAGAAAATGACAGCAATGTACCATAAATGGTAATGCTCTTCCAACTGATGAGTAAATGCTGTAAAAGGAATTCCGTAACCATGGTAGTTAAAAGCAGGCATTGGAAAGCACAGGCAGCTGTGTTGAGAATGAATAATAAACACTTGGGCAATCGGGAGCTGGCTTTGTTACTGAGCACAGAAGGGGCAGATGTAGAAAGATGGATTAATGGTGACTTTGACATTTCGTTTGTACTGTCAGCCTTAGTTCATTTGATATTTCCAGATTGAACATTTATCTTCATTTTTCTTCTGTGTGGTGTTGCATTGACAGATAATTTTGTAAGGTTAGAATATTGTGGAGCAGAATTTATCAGAATGTTATTGTAAAATGTCTCCTATTATAGATTCTCGTATTTCTGTTAGCAAATTGGAAAACACTTTTGTCTTCTCCTGTACCAGTTCCAGTGAAGTCACTTGTTACAACAATTTGTGCTAAGCATTGGATGTCTGCACCAAACTTTTAAGTTATTTTACTGCAACACAGAACCCGGTATTTCATCAGAAAAGGAAGTCATTGTGTGACCTGTGTTTTTAATCCCAATTTCTAGCTATCCCCCATATCCCTTAATATTTATTTTGCTTATGTCCTTATGCAATTCCCTTGAATGATTCTATTGATCCAGCTTCAGGCACCATATTGGGACTGTACATTTAATAATTAATGCAAAGTATGAGTGATGTAAAATTCATAGGGACTTGGGTATGACCTTTGCAATTATAAGATTTATACAGATCAGATTTATACTAGTTTTACTGAACTTTTCAGAGTTGACTAGTTACCCAAAGTACAGTATCTCAAAAATACACTCCTAGGATAGTGAGTGACAAGTAGGCACATAACTAATGACTGCTTATCCCAGGGCCTAGAGATCAGAATTTCGCTGTGGTTCATTTCTGTACAGTTCACCCTTGCCATTCTTTGACTTATTATTATGGGGATTTATACAGCATCTTTCAGGTAAAACATCTCAAAGTGCTTGACAAATATAGTGTTAGAAATAACATGGCAAATGTGGAAATGACTTGACAGACTGAGACTTAAATCGATTGTTCAAATGCGAGTCAAAGATTTTGTTCAGGTTTTAAAGGCTGGTACCACTTCAGTAGCATGAAGTGGTTTTTGAAGAGTTCGAGGAGCCTGTTGAAAGCTTACCCGCTTCATCAGGTAAAGAGCAAGGAATAAACAAAATTCTAAAGAATGAAGAGAACCTGCTGGACTCTTAGGGCTGGAGATGATTACGTATATCTGGGTGGTCTTACTGCACCCGCAACCCACCCGCAATTTCATCCAACTTGAGCCCATATCTAACTCCAGGCAGCCCACGTGCCGCTTTCCCCCTCCCCAGTAAAGCGTCCTCTCATGGAAGGAGTTGTCGGTTGAGAGTCAAAATAAAGCTGCCCGTTGCTGCAGTTTGTCATCAAGTTCCTCCAAAGCTGATGGGAAGGCAAGTGGGTATCCTTATCTACCACCGGCGTGACTGGGTGGCCCGAAGTTCGAAATAGTCTTGGGCATTAAATTATTAAATTGGTCTTGAAATTATCCCCTTCATATCTTCTCACCTCACCATGCCACCACGCTCCGGTGTCCAGCCGGCGGTGTCGAGTGCTTTAAGACATCCTTCCAACTTGAAAAAGGCGTTGTGTAAATGTTGTTTCTGGAGGTGAAACACAAAAATATTGCTTTTGTGGTCCGCGGACGTTTCTCAAATAGGGCATCTGACCCTTGGCAACCACAAGATTGGACCAAGCTGATGTATGGAATGTGTAGCAAGATTATGATGAAGGTCAGGACAAAGATCCTAAACTTAATGCTTTGAAGTAGTCGAAGTTACTGAAACTTGGCAATGATCAATGATCTTGGTAACAGGGCTTTCAATTCATGTGTTACAAGCTTGCTTGTGCCTGCAAAAGTTCTAGTTCTATGCGCCTTTAATCATCATAATATAAAAATGGTACTACACAGCCATTATTGCAATAGTTTTTTTTATTGAATGAATAAGTTATAAATTGACACTATTTTCTGGGCCCTTCCTTAATTCTCAAATTACATTCATGCAACGTCTTGCATTTTTACAATTCTAGCTTTCTTTCCCCTCCCCCCACACACATCTCTAACACAAGCTTACTGAGAATAGAAATATTTTTATCATGTATGCGTAATCCAAAAGCCTATCCTGTATTTGGAAACACTGGTTAGAACGTACTTGGATGGTTCGTTTGCTGTTTCTAGTTGTATCACCTTTAAGCTGAAAGTGCTGATGTTAATACATCGGAAGCACTTATGCTTCTGAGCAAAAAGTCATTTTAAAGTAGCATTCTGCAAACCTGCTTTTATTATTCGGATTGAAACAGCATGCGTTGAACAGTTGGCCAAATGACATCAATCTCTGCACAAAATGCGTTGCTGTTTGTGGTGACAGAGTAGTCCAAACAAGCACAGAACTCAGGAACGTTTCTTCTTCTTGTGCATCTCCTCCTAGCAGTGAAAGTTGTAAACTAAAGCTATTTGGCTTACCTAATAGTACATGACTTGTGCTTACACATAGTTCTGGCCTTCTTTGGGTCCCGAAGGCTGCCGGCTCTTGTAGGACCGACTCATTCCTTGTTGCAGATCTTTGTTGCAGGAGGAACAGAAAATGATGCCTGCAATGAGTGAGCCGCCTGCAGAAATAAAACCAGCATATATCGCTCCTCCTATTTCATACTTATTAGCTTCTGGGGTGGATGGTTTGAAGTACTGGCTGATTAGCCCGGCTGTGAAGCAGGATACTGGAACTAAACACATGGTGCCAGCAATAATGAAAGACGCCCCTCCTGTGATGGCGGCACAGCTCTTTGTCTGTTGGTCTCTTATCCACCTTGTACACTTCATCCCAGGCAAAGCGAACCCGATTCCGAGGATTGACACAATACAGGACAGGACCATCATAGTTCGAGCAGCTCTGATGTAGGCAGGCTGGGCTAGGATTGAGAGGCTGTACTTGCAGCTGAAGAGCCCTGTACTGGTCCAGGTGCAGTTCGTCCAGAGACCCTGCATGTGAATCGTTGACGAGATTATATTTGATCCTTCAAAGGTATTGACCTTCCAGTTTGGCAGCACTGTGACTACAGTTGCTCCTATCAAAGCGAGCAAAGACAAAATGATGGCAAAAACCTGCAGCCCTGTTGTCGCCATTATCCTCTTTGACACGTGCTTTCTGCGGACTCCCGGTCAGTTGTCGATTACCGGAATGGATTAATGGGTTTCTTTCATAGCTCTGCTCAAGGGAATGATATTGGTTATAAAATCTGTTCTAAAATGTTTGAATCAATGAAAAAAAAGATTTATTTACAGAAATTGTTCTGTTCAGAACAAAACCGATGCCTGAAAACCAAAGCCCGTTCGCTGCAATATACTATACTGAGTAGACTACTTATCACAGCTACCGGAGGGTGGAATTTATAAACTGGTGTGAGTAGTTCATTGTGACATCAGTTTTTCCTTAGCAACAGGCTGTCGTCTGCTTTTGACAACACAAAATAATGCAGTTTAAAAGCTTCAGTTGCTAAACGAACAGAATATATCCATTTTAAGTCTTCTGGCAGGGTGCCTATGAAGACATTTATGACAGAGCTCTGAACAGTGGTTTCAACAATCTTGGGAATTGGTTTTGAGATTTCTGACCACTCAAACTATTTTAGCCCTAGCATTAGTTTCTGATTTTATTTAACATTATTAGATATCTTGGGAATCGGTTTCTAATCCATACGATTTATTCCCTTTAGCCAGGGGCAGACTTATTGACTAAGAATAACAACAATCTGTCACTATTTCATAGTAGAGAATATTCATCATTTCTGAAAAGCATGTTTTACCTAGAATTAATCTCTTCACAAAAGGAGTGACTTGAAAAGGAGAGAGGAATTGAGCAAAGGTACAGGTCTTTGCTCAATTTTTAAACTTTAAAAATAGGGAGAGAAGGTGCAACAAAAGGATTTTGGCAGAGAATGCCAGAGCGCAGGCAGAAAGCTCAGTCACTGATTGTGGGATGGGGGAATGAATATTTTCCTTGTATGCAGAGTCAGAAGAGCAGAGGGTACGGGCGCAAGAATAAGATTGGAGAAAATTGCAGTGGTAGAGTGGGTCAAAATTAAGAAGGGACTCAAAGATCAAAACTAGGATCTTGAAGTCAGTTTGCTGAAGAACTGGGAATAGTTGAACCTGGCGAGGATGGATTAATTGGAGTGCAGCACCTGGTGTAGGAGGAGATATTACCCTGCAGAGCTTTACATAAATTATATCTTACAAAACATAAGGGTCATCATATTAAAGGGAAAAAAATAAGACACTTGAACAGAGTGTAGAGAATGGGGATTTTGATAGTCCATCAAAGGAGTACTTTAATAGACTGGAGAAATGGCACCTCCAGCCTCGACATGAGTTCAGAGTCCTGACGTGGAGCTTGAACCCACAGCCTTCTGACTCAGAGATGACAGCAGGCTGATACGCAAATAGCAATTGGTTTCTTAATGTCCACTTCCATCACAGCTACTTGTGGTAATCAAAAAACGAATGATAGGAAAATAATCAACTTGTTTAATACAGAATGTTGCTTTTTAGGCAAAGGTGAAATCTGGTAATGGATGCAATTTGGACAATTAATAGTTTGACTGCAAGGTAGGCTTCTTTAGGTTTCTTACCTCCGTCAAGTTGAGTAGGATTTTCTCAACTAAGTCGTAAAAGGCTGTGGGACTTAAAATTAATTTTGGGGTGCACACATTTAAACCAACTGACAATGTATCAAATATGAATGCCCCTAGCATTCGATTTGTACAGGATGTGAGTAAAATAGTATTGTCTGCTTGGTTTCTAGGTGGATGTAGGAGTTATTCATTTTACCCCTCTGATGGAACCACAGATTAACCAACCTTTCAAGTTGGTGGAAAAAGTAGTGAGATGCGTCTTCAGCTTCAGGAGAAAATACTGCCACAGAGGAATTGCGTAAGTTTAAATTCCATTTCACTGGTGTTTTTATAGCCTTCATGGTCAGCAAATGTTTCTTGTTTTGTGACTGTTGAAATATGCAGCAAATGGAGTCCTGTAGCTTAGTGGTTAGAGCTATAGCCTCGTAAACAAGAGGACCTGGGTCCATTCCCAGTCAGGGCGAAAAATTGAGCAAGTTTCCTTACTCCACACGCCTCTGTTTACCTAGCAGTAGTTAGTTGATTGGTGGATCACTTTTCCTGGGGTAATAATCCCTTGAAAAAATTATAATTTGGTTACTCAATCCACGACTATTTGTGGGACACTACTGTACACAATTGGCTGCCATGTTTCGCCCACAAAATATACAGTCAATTCACTTTACAGGATATTCTGTGAAGCACTTTGAGATGTGTCGAGGACATGATAAGGCACTATATCAAATGCAACGATTATTATATGCCATTTTATACAACTTGTATTTTGGTAAGTTTGCTTTTTATTTTGAAGTTTCATTTCACTGGCATTTGTCTGGTATTTGATGACCTTTAAAATCAGATGCATTTTTTCTCTTTCCTGTTATATTAATTATAAAACTCCTCACTTATCTTTCGCATTGTTCAACTTGGTAGTGGGATAGCTATTTTTAAACTGGGTATTACAGCCATTGAAAAGATAACAAACTAAAATTCAACAGGGACGTATCATTAGAATCATCATTTGATGTGAAAATTCATCAGCTCAGAAGCAGTGAGCCACAAACCAGGAATCACATTGGTAACCCCAGCACACAAAGAGAATACCTCTACAGTTACCTTAAAAATGATGAGGTTACAAAACAATACAAATGTACATTTATATAGGCCTTTCACGGCAGGAGGACATCCCAAAGTGCTTAATACTGGCTTGGTACCTGAGCTGGGGGGTGGGGGGGGAGCTGAGGGGAAAGATGACAGAAAGCATAGTCAAAGAGGCAGGTCTTGAAATGGACCTTGAAGGACATAACGGAGGGAGCAAGTTGGAGGGACTGGGATGGAGCTCCAGGTGATTTCAGGTCTTTCCTGCCAAAATACAGGGTACATTCTAAACTTGGGACTTTGGCAGTAAAAAAAGAAACTTCTTTCCTTTTTGCTAGGATTTTATTTCCTGAATCTCAAAGGAAAGAGTTAACAGACCAGATGATTGACGTGGCTGATGTGGACCCACTGCTGCGGCCAGTCGAACTTTCCATACCTCATTTTCGGAGACTTTGTGATGCATATGGACAATTGTGTGCCGAACACCCACATCTGTTCACTTACAACTTCAGAGAAGAATTACGGCAAAAGAAGCTTTCACGTAATAAAATGCAGAGGAAAGTCAAACACATCCCTGACAGAGCGGAGATGGAACCTGAGACTGGATAAAATGTCATGAATGGCAGTTGAACTATTTTAACATTAAACATCAAATCATACTGTGCTTTTTGATCAGATTTCTGAAAGTATCAATTATATTGCTGAAAGATACTTTTGTGGTGATGTCATTTTTTAATGATTTGGCTGCAAATTATGAAGCTAAAGTAATCTTGACAGTGAAATCTAGTCTGGCAGTGTACCTCAAGTGACCAGAAATATACGGCTAATATGCTGGCCACAATTTCGCCTACAAATATACGGTCAATTCACTTTACAGCATATTCTGTGAAGTGCTTTGAGAAGTCTAGAAGACGTGAAAAGCTCTATATAAAATGCAAGGATTATTATTATTAAAGAGAAATATTAGCTTGGTCTTAAACATGAGGATGAGGAACACAGTAATAAGTGGGTTAAAAGAGCAGTTAAAATTTATTTAAACTATCCTGAATGACTTTGGGAGAATTGTTTCTTCTGCACCTTCCAAACTCACACCTCATTTTTTAGCAATACAAGGATTGTAATCTGAAATGATTCCTACTCTTGGGAGCTCTGATTCAACTCTGCAACACCAGGTACCGTCTTCATTTTATTCTGGATTTTAGAACCAAGAATGTCAACGGTTCTCTAGGTTCTCCGGGACGCCACACCGCATGAAGGGCGCTATATAAATTTGAGTTGTTGTTGGCCAAGAGAGGCTACAATTGTCCCTGACAGTAAACCACAAAACGATGCCCTCGCTTTTTGTTCCCCTCACTCATGCACTCTTTCTCCCTTCTTACATTGTCTCAATCACACACACATTCTCATTCAGTCTCTGTCCCTCATTCCTCCACCTCCTATCTTCCCTCAATCTGTAGCGACTGATAAGGATGTGGTGGAGAATGAGACACTTGCCTTTGCCTCAGTTTGCATACACACTGCAATGACAGCCGGCATTATTTCTGCGCTGTGCTTCTTCCCAATCGCTGGCTCCTGACGCTGCCCTCGGAGGACATCCACGGGGCGGGAAGGAGTAGACGTTGGAAATAGCCTTGGGCTGGATAAAATGACTGGCCAGGCCCAGTAAAACCTGCATCTCTAATTTGGGTTTAGAATGATTAAGCTCGTTTGAATTTGATAGGTGGCTAGAGATGACCAAAATGAGCATTTTTGGTAAATGTTTAATTAGATCAAGACTCATTGCTTCCATTATAATAAGCTTTGAACTATGGATAACAAGGCCAGCTTTTTGATATTCAATTACATTGCAATCAAAAAGAACCACACACAGCTTCCTGAATACACTGTGCATATTTATTCCACACAAGCATTTTGCAGCATATTGAATATCAAGTAGTCATGTTCAACAGAATACAAAATTAAACCCAATACAAATTAAACCTAATATTACAATGCAGACAGGTCTCATAAAATTACAATATACACAAAGTTCAATGCTTATTTACAGGAAAAAAACTATCGAGTATGCAAACATCTGTATTACTGCAGACTAACCACAGCCTGTAGTGCTGGACTATGTTAAATAGGTAGATCTATATGTGTCACCAGCGGATTTACCTTGGCAAACACAGAAAATGTCCACAAAAATAGAAAAAGCGGCATTGGCAGGCATTTTAAAACGACAAAAATTTGACAAATCCCACTTTTGTTCAATTTTCTGGTGCTATTGTAAACCAATATTTTCCATGTATAAATAAAATTAAGATTTACAGTCTCTTAAAATAATTTGACCTTTCTTGGAAACATTACGTTCTATGTTCACTACCGGGCCTTATTTGCAAACCATTAAATTTAACATTGTATTAGAGAACCAAAACAATAGCTCTATTGTCTATAATGGACAATAAATTTTAAAAATTCCTCTGTACTTAATATTTTCTTCAACGAAAACAAATTAAAAAACTACCTTCTTAAAGCTAAAACTGTGGTCTTAGTGCAGACAACAATAAGGAAAACTAAGCATTGCTCTTATTTACCGAGCCTTTTCCGTCTACTTTCAAAACCAAAGAGGACAGTTAGGAGACTTACGTGTAGATAAGATAATAAATTTCCCGAGTTCTGATCACTTTGTAGAGAGCAACACCCACTTGAGACCTTGAAGCTAAGACTCCTCAGCTGTCTCCACGTTTTCGTAGAAGCAGTCTTCATTCACTACCGAAGTAAGGCTCTGCACACTAAACTCTCTCTCCAGCACAGAGTTCAGATCTACATTTGGACTATCAGATTGACTATCTAGAGATCGGTTATGTTCATGCATAAACAACAAGTTCCCTTTGTTCTTTTTTGTGCTGTTTGCTTTCCGTTTGATGGGACAGAAATGGCCTCTTACGAGCTTGGGATGATCACTTTGATCAATCTCTGTATCCAGTTGCTCATTCGGGGCCTGCTCCCCGTCACTTCTAGGATCAATTTCAATTTGCATTTTCTCAAACTGCACCTCAATGTCATCAGTGGGAGATGTGTTCTTAGTTTTGCAGTAATCATCATCATCATCACTCAGAATATCAGATTCCTTCACCTCCTCCCCCTGTTGCTCCTCTGTGTGTTCCTGCTTTGGATATGGCAGATTGCTGTGTTCAGGTCCACTCTCTGAGGTGTGGCAGCCACTGCTTTGAGTTCCGCTGCTCAGACTGCACTCGTCGGAATCAACAGCGTTGCGCCCCGTGGGGTCCTGACCCCAGGTAGAGGACGAGCAGAGTTTGAAAAGCTTTGAAGCTCGAGTTGATGCTAAAATAAATAAAATTGCATTGGTTAGAATTTTTAAATTCCCTGTTTATGAGTATCATGAGTAAGAGATGGAATTAGTTCAGAAAAGAAAATGGTTGGGACCAGCGAAGTGTTTATTTAGTTTATTTACAAAGTGTCATTACCTGAACCCTTTGGACAGTCAGGATTTTTTTTTTGGAAAATGTTTTCCATTTTCATCTGAATTCAATCATAACTTGTTATAATAATAATAATCCTTTCATTAGATATTGTGTCTTATCCAAGCATAGAATATACTCTAGTGAATTGACTGTATATACTGTAAATGGAACACAACAGCCAAATGCGCACAGTAGTGCTCCACACACAGTTGTGGATTACGTGATCAAATTTTTTTTAAATAAGGGATTATTAACCCCGGAAATGTGGTCCACCAATCGACTAACAACCGGGTTTCTACTTACTGTTAGGTAAACAGAAGCGTGTGGAGTAATGAGACTTGCCAATGTTCCACCCTGCCCGGGAATTGAACCCAGATGCTCTCACTTGTGAGGCGAGTGCTCTAACTACTAAGCTACAGGATAGTACATGTACATGTTAGTCAATATCATAACTTGTTACTACATAGATCTTGACATGCTAACAAATACACCAAGGAACATTTCTAACCAATTCTGGCAGAGGATGGCACTCGGCATCTCAGAGGGGCGAGACGATCTTTGGTCAGTTTCTCAATTGATGTTTCTGACTTGTTCATATGACGCCGAACATTCTCCCTCAGGATTGAACGAATGGCCTTGATGATATTAGTTTTGCCCTCTGGGTCCCTAAAGATGAGAGAAAGTAAATGAAGTATCAGTTGATGCAAGCAAGACACCCAACTCAGACTGAAATTAATTGTATTTACCTTAATAGCAATTCAAAGCTTTAAAGAACACAAGGTCATTTTTCCTTTAAGTTATAAACAAATTATAATCATTGTACTAATATAGTGCCTTATCACGTCTTTAGAACGTCACAAAGCACTTCACAGATTATACTGTAAAGTGAATTGACTGTATCTGTTGTGGGGGAAACACAGCAGCGAATTGCACACAGCAGTGTCCCATAAACAATCATGGATTGAGTGAGTGATTGAGACAATGTAAAGGGATTTGTACCCTGTAAAGTGATCCGCCAAACGATTTAACAATCAGGTGTGTGGAGTAAGGAAAACCTGCCCAATGTTTCGCTCTGCCTGGGAATCGAACCCAGTTCCTCTTGCTTGCGAGGCAAGCGCTCTAACTACTGAGCCAAAGGACTTCACGAGGGGATAGTTATAAAGGGGACACGCATCTTTTATAAAATACAGCTTTATCAAGGAACACAATTTCTGGAGTATTAAAAATGAAGTGCATAAGTAGATCAAAAAATAATTTTCACATCCTTCCGGTATAATTGGAGAACGAATAATAACTTTCAGCTTACCTGCTGCATAGCTGAAAGACTGTCTCAGGTCGACCCTCGATTTCAGATTTAGTGTGGTTTAATTCCCAAATGCAGTTAGTATCAGTTCCTGCACCGCGAAAATGAAGGAATAAAGACACCGATTATTGTAAAGAAAAGTTTCTTCTAGAAATAATTCCACTACCGACCAAATTCCACAATCTCTCAAACAGGAGTCAGTCCAGGATAATGGCTGCAAGTCAGAGAGGCTTCCAAAGAAATGTTTACAACAGTTAATGCATAAAAGCTACAAATAATTGGAAATAAAAAACGAGTGTGTTGAATTATTTATAATTGTTTCTAGCGTATGCTGGTCTGGTCAGTCTCCTTTGCCTGGGGCTTTGTGGCCTTGGGTTCCCAACCCAAGCCATTGCTCTTCTGTGAGCTTCGACAGCGAGTGTCAACATTGTACTGTTACTGAAGAAGTTGGTCTGACCACGTGTACCAGTAGAGGGCGCTAAAGCAGGATCCCTGGCTATTTCCCCCATACTGATAATAGTAATAATTCTTGATACTGCACCTTATCACGTCTTCCAGACATCTCAAAGCGCTTCACAGAATACTCTGCAAAATGAAGTAACTGTATGCTTTGTGGGAAAAACGCAGCAGCCAATAGCGCACAGCAGTGTCCCACAAACGGTCATGGATTGAGTGACTGAAAATATCTTTTTTTAGATACGTAAGGGATTATTACCCTGGAAAACTGATCCGCCAATTGTTTAATAACCAGGTTCCTACTTACTGCCAGGTAAACAGGAGTGTGGAGTAAGGAAACTTGCCCAAAATTTTGCTCTGTCTGTGAATTGAACCCTTGCGAGGCGAGAGCCCTAACCACTGAGCTACAGGACTCTGATCTGATCCTGGGAAGTCCATGGCCAATTTAACCTCATGCAGCCTGGCTGAGACCAGAATACTCAACAAGGACCAAGATTCAAACCAATAATGATCTCCTGATCTCTGTAAGTTGCAGCTCTATCCACAGCTCCATGGCTACCTCTTGTAATACATATTTGAAATAAAAACAAATATACTTACTTTTTTAAAATAATCTGTCACTTGCAATTTCGTACTCCTGTTTTAGAAACATAGACACCTAGAAACAGGAAGAGGCCATTTAGCCCCTCGAGCCTATTCCGCCATTGTATAAGATCATGGGTGATCTGTACCTCAACTCCAATTACCCACACTTGTTCCATGATACCCTGACCTAACAAATATCTCTCCACCTCAGTCTTGAAAATTTTCAATTGATCCAGCATTCACAGCCTTTTGGGGGAAAGAGTTCCAGATTTCCACTCCCCTTTGGGTGAAAAACTGCCTCCTGATTTCACTCCTATATACCCTGGCTATATTTAAGCTGATGCCCCCCTTGTTCTGGATTCCCCACCAGAGGAAACAGTTTCTCTCTTGGTTGGCCCTGATCCCTTTAATTTGTCAGTCTGGAGTCAGAGGCACAACAAACATGAAGCTCTTTGCAACAACGCCTCAGATCTACGAATTACCTGCAGCATTTCCCAGTCGGACTTGAAGAGCGGAAAGTGGGATTAACCATCGGAATTTAAACTGGTCGATATCACCGTGGATATAAGCAGATCGTGGAATAGTTGCCTAAATAGTTGTTGTGGTTGAAAGAGAAAGGAATAGAAACAAATTGCACCACAGTTAGGAAACAATATTTTTACCCGCAATCTAGAATAAATCAGAGTTCAAAGAACCAATACTGAAAATAAACTACTGTTAGAACAGCATAGTTATAAATACAACAACATTTACACAGTGCCTTTCACGTCGGGAGGATGTCCCAAGGTGCCGGACAGTCAGGAATTTGGACCCGAGCTGGGGGTTGGGATCGGGGGTGGAGAGAGGGAGGGCAGAAGTAGGAGGCTGGACGAAGGCGCGGTTGAAGAGGAGGGTATTGAAACGTGCTTTGAAAGAGGGAAGGGAGACAGTGAGACAAAGGGACTGTGGGATGGAGTTCCAAAGGGTTGGGTCAAAGAGGCTGAAGGCCCGACCGCCAATGGTGGGGCGGGCGGGGCGGGGGAACGTGGAGCAGGCTGGAGCCTGCCGAGCGGTGGGAGCGGACAGGTTCATATGGAGCTAGCAGGTCACAGAGGTAATTTTGTCACTTACCGTTTTCTTTTTCAGTTTGCAGATCTCTTTGTAAACCAGTATGACTGCTCGCTTGAAGACTGGAAAACAAAAGAGATAAAGTTCAATGACTGGCTTAAGGAAGATATTTTCGTTAAGAATCAGAAGCGGAAAGACTGAGAATGTCAACTGGAATATTTAAAAGGGAGGTAGAGAGAGAGAGAGGCAGAAAGAGATACTATTTTGATTCAGAGAAAGTTGAATAAATCTAGATTTGGTATAAAATATTTTTATGTCTCACGTCTGCCAGTGAATCTAAACCCTCCAGTAGAAGACAACAACAATAAATTAAGTTTACCAGAGCCTTTCAAATCAGGAGGACGTCCCAAGGCGCTGGACAGTCAGGGATTGGACCCAAGCAGGGAGTTGCAATCAGGAGGGGTTGAGGGCAGGGAGGGTAGGAGGGTGACCCAAGGGCATGCTCAAAGAGGAGGGTCTTGAGATGGTCCTTGAAGGAGGCAAAGGAGGAAGCGAGGCGAAGGGACTGTGGGATAGAGTTCCAAAGGGTGGGGGCAGAGAGGCTGAAAGCCCGACCTCCGATAGTGGGGCGAGCCGGGCAGGGGTTGTGGAGACCCAATGTAATGGCTCCACTTATGCAGCCAACATGAATTATGTATGTGTGTATGTGGAGGGGTGGGTGTGGGTTGGAGGAGAAGCGAGAGAGAGAGAGAGAGAGATGCATAACATTCTCAGCATGGAATTCAGACCGGGGGCTGGTTAGCTGGACATTACTAGGAGCTGCCATTTCATCTCCAACCCAGTAAAACTAAATGAAGTAGTGAAAAATCCCTCATCTCATACCCCCACCCGCCCCTCATTAATGCACTTACCAAAGATTGTTAGTTCAGGCTCCTTCCTCATTCGACTCAGAGATGGGAAGGGGTTTAACCAGGTGACTGAAGAATACAGTAAGAGTTCTCCCATTGAAAGCTCTGTAACCTGAAATATGATTGAAAACATTTTAGCTAGAGAATTGAAAATGCTTTTGAGACACATTCGACATACAGAAATTCTTACAAATTTATAACATAATCCACTCAACATAGAATGATAATTAAAGGATTATCCACATTTCTTTAAACATTAATATAACATTAATATAATTGGTAAAAGAACCAGAGGGGAAACAAGGAGAATTGTTTTTTACCCACAGTTATGGTCTGGAATGAACTGCCTCAGAGGGTGGTGAAAGCAGATTCGATAATAGCTTTCGTAAGGGAATTAGATAGGTACTTAAAAGGAGAAATGTACAGGGCTATGGGGTAAGAGCGGGGGAGTGGAACTAGTTGGTAGCTCTTTCAAAGAGTCAGCACCGGCATGATGGGCCAAATGGCCTCCTTTTGTGTTGTAAGATTCTATGATTCCCTTTTCTTAACATTTACCAATCCCAACAAATTATGACCAGCGAAAAGATAAGATGTGTAGCTGACTTTTACCTCTTTCTTAGTTCCGGGTTGTTCAGCCACCAGCTGATCAAAAACTGTTCCATAATCCTCGTAGACTTTCTGCATCTCGTTGATGTGACTGGCCACTTTCTCCATCGCTTTTAGTGCCTCTGAAAGTGAAGACATCGACAAGACGTCAGACACGCATCACAGTCGCAAGATCAGACGATAGGTTTGGACGAAGAAGGCCTTTCGACCCATCTGATCTCATGTTTTTAGAACATCCACTATACCATCTCCTCCCACCCCACCCTCAATCACAGATGACCAGCAAACCCATTAGTCCGACTAAATGGGACCAGCTCGTTCGCGGAAAGAAATCAGTGCAAACCACACAAAATACAAAATACTCCCCGACGTGAAAGACGCTATACAAATGTAATCTTTTGGTTGTTGTCAGCAGCCACAAGCATGTGCGCCCAACGGGCCCCGGAACTCAATGTTCTCGGCTGATACTCCAATACAGTCCGTCTAACAGATATGACAGTAAACTAAGGTCTCGTCAGCCTGTTTAGATGCACGTCAAAAATCCCTTGGCACCATTTAAAAAGAAAAGGGTCTCCGTACCAACAACCCCCACCTCACCTCCAAGATAGTATTGTACATTCACTTCCTGACTGTTTATGGGACACTCAACGCAAAGCCTTTTGGCAGAATGTGTTTCAGTATTCATTTTATTAGCAAGGAACAGATTATTTGTGCAGAAGCAAAACACCACAATCTCCTGTAAATAATCAACACTCAAAAACAGCTTTAGCAAAGACAATGTAATAACAATACAATAATAATCCTTGCATTTGATATAGTGTCTTATGTCTTCGAGACGTCTCAAAGCGCTTCACAGAATATACTATAAAGTCGATTGATTGTATATTTTCTGGACGAAACACAGCAGCCAATAGCGCACAAACAGTTGAGTGACTAAGTTATACATTTTGAAGGGATTATTAAACCCGGAAAGCAATCCGCCAATCGACTAACAACCAGATTCCTACTTACTGCTAGGAAAACAAAGGCGTGCGGAGTAATGAAACTTGCCTAAGGCTTTGCCCAGTCCGGGAAATTGAACCTGTGTCATCTCGCTTGTGAGGCGGTAACCACTAAGCTACAGGACTCCCCATAGAAACAGAGATTTTCACTGGTGGAAAGAGGTGATTATTTGGCCTGTCATATCTGTGCCACTGTATCCCACCTGGGGGCAAGTCTAAGTTGCCCTTTATTATAACATCTATGTGTATGATACAGCGCCTTATCAACCTAAATTCAAGTACTGACCTGTTAGATGGTAGTGCTCTTCACTCTCTGGATCGGTCAGAGATACCAATTCTTTCAGCAGCAGTGGGTACTTCAACACTCTCTGGACAGGTTTGATCAGATACGATTCCAACGTAAAGGAATGTTGCTTCGTGGGATTCCGCACATCCAAAAATTCTTTGAAAGCTTTGTCTGTTTTAGCTGGGTTTTGAAGAGAATTTATATTAATTTTAGAGGCACAAGTAGGAAGAGACTATTTAGCTGAGAGTTTGGAAGAGAAAGCCAAGACATAGAAATAGATATTGCAGTGATTGAGAGGATACAACAACAACAAGATTCCATTTATTGAGCACTTTTCACGTCGGGAGGACATCCCAAGGCGCTGTACAGTTGGTCAGGACCCGAGCAAGGGGGAAATGGTCAGGGGGAGGGAAGGGAGGGAGCGAGGAGGGGGTAGAGAGTCGAGAGGAGGGTAACCCTCTGAGATTGAGAGGATGGAAGGACTGGACTAGGAGGAGTGATTAGGTAAACTGGCCATGTTCACACTGAAGAAGAGAAGGTTGAGGGTGATATGATTACGGTCTTTAAGATTCTGGAGGGAATAGATAATGTAGACCATGATAAGCTGTTTTATCGTGTACTGAACAATAGAAACCAGAGGGCACTGCTTGTGAAGAGAGGTAAATTCAGAACAAATCTGCGGAAACACTACTTCAGTGAGCGAGTAGTTAGCTTATGGAACAGGCTCTCTCAGGAGACGGTGGAAGTAGAAAATGTTTCAAGAACAAATTAGATAGATTTCTGCTAGAAAATACTATTTGGGGATACAATATATAGTTTGGGACATAACATGTCAAGCGACTGCCAGAATGATGGAAGGCAAACTAGATGGATCTTGGTCTTCCACCGAGCAAGTTCACGATGAGTTTGAATTCACAACTTATGAGTTCTTATGAGCATCTCTGGCAGAGTTGCTAGAATTGAATAGAAAACCTGCAAAATTGTGGTCAAAAAAGAATTCTATTGGAAATGATCCTATTTCTCCAATGGCTTGGCAAAGGCACTGCTTAGAATGAAACATACTGAAGCAGACGATCTCAGCTTTGGTCCCTGCTCTTTGTTGTTCTACAACAATAACAACATGCATTTATATAACGCCCCCACAGAGGATGATGTCCCAGAATGTGTGAGGGAGAAAAGGTCTGAGGAAGAGAGGGAGTTTGTAAGGGACTCGAGAAGGGGGAGGGGTGGGAGTGGAAGCTTTTTTCAAAGGCGGAAAAAGATGGTGTAGGGCTAATCCAGTAAAGATTAATTAATTAAAGAGGAGAGGGGATGGGAGAAGAAAATAAAGTGATAAGGCTGGAAGTCTGAAACAAAAACAGAAGTTTCTGGTTACACCCAGCAGCTCAGGCAGCATCTATGGAGAGAGGAAAGTGGGGTAACGTCTCAGGTCTGACGAAAGGTCATCGACCTGAAACTCACTTTTCTCTCTCCAAAGATGCTGCCTGATCTGCTGGGTGTTCCCAGCAACTTGTGTTTTGACTTGTAGCATAGCCTGGCTTGTTTAATGAAGCACAGATTGAACATCTCAAAGCTTCCATGTTTATTTTCAATGACTCACCTCTTTCTAGGACTTTCTGAGCCTTGGTGTGATTTGCACAGAAACCACTGTAGAGTTTAAAGTGGTCGGCGTAATAGAGGAATGAACCACCCAGTGAAAACAGTAGCTTCTGAAAATGGAGATGACACACAGTCATTTTTATGGATACAACCTCATTGCTTATAAAATAAATAATAATAATCCTTGCATTTGATGTCTCAAAGTTTCACAGAATATACTGTAAAGTCAACTGAATGTATATTTTGTGGGCGAATTACAGCAGCCAATTGTGCACAGCAGTGTCCCACAAACAGTTGTGGATTGAATGACCAAATTATTATTAATTTTTTAATGCATTATTATCCCCAGAAAAGCGAGAGTTTCATTGCCAATCTCAAGTTTGTGCTCCCAGCCCGAGACTTACTTCAGGGAAAAAGGAGAGCAAGAGGTAATAAATGAAAAGTTGACTTCTGAACAAAAATAAAAATTTCATCATACTTCAACTTTGCCTGGTGCATGAAAACTCATGGGAAATATTTATTTTGATATCAAGGTTTTTGCAATAAATGTAAATAACACTTTTAATCCAAATTGCTAAACAGTATAAATAGCAGGATTCAAAGGCTACAAAAATATTTGTTCTATAAATTTTAATGTTATGAAGCCCATTGGGCAGTATTTTTGTATCACAGGAGGTGACGTTAACATGTGATAATTATCCTTTTTCTAGTGGGCTCTCAAAATTTGATCGCAAGAGACAAGGATTTTGAACCCCATCCTCTGGGGGATGGGGAACCAGGTTGAGATGATAGGGTCACAGAACCTGGTGCAGAAAAGGACACAAGCTATACAGTTCTGGATGATCTGCAGCTTGTGGAGATATGACTTGGGAAGGCCGACAAACAAGGAGTACAAGCAACCAGTAATAATAATAGTAATCCTTCCATTTGATATAGCGCCTTATCACATCTTCGAGACGTCTCAAAGCGCTTCACAGAATATACGGTAAAGTTAATTGCATGTATATTTTGTGGGCGAAACGCGGCAGCCAATTGCGCACAGCAGTGTCCCACAAACAGTCGTGCACTGAGTGACTAAATTATTATTATTTAAGGGATTATTTCCCCCAGAAAGCAATCTGCCAATCGACTAACAACCAGGTTCCTACTTACTGCAATGTAAACAGAGGCGTGTGGAGTAAGGAAACTTGCCTAACGTTTCTCTATGCCCAGGAATCAAACCCAGGTCCACTCGCTTGCCAGGCAAGTGCTCTAGCCACTGAGCTACAGGACTCAATACAACAACGACTTGCATTTATATAGTGACCTTCACACAGTTAGAGTTCTTGCAGCGCTTAACCACAGTTTGGTTTGACGCTGAGCTGGAAAGAGAGGGGAGGTGAATACCCACCTTATCATCTTCCCATTACAGCATCAAGCTTTTTTTTAAAAAATGGGTCCAGTAACCTGGTCTCAACTGCCCTTCGTAGTAACGTGTTCCAATCCTTAATTACCCTCTGGTGCCTATTCTGAACTTGATGTCTGTCCTGAAATTGCTCTTTGGAATTCTAAATCTGATGTCTTGGTTCATCCAAAAGTATTGTTTGGTTGTACTCCCTGTTTGTCGGCCTTCCCAAGTTTTATCTCCACAAGCTGCAGATCATCCAGAACTCTGCAGCTTGTGACCTTTCCTGCATCAGGTTCTGTGACCCTATCACCTTGATCTGGCTCCACTGGCTTCCCATCCCCCAGAGGATAGGGTTCAAAATCCTCATCCTCATCTATAAATCCCTCCACGTCCTTGCTCCTCCCTACCTCTGTGATCTGCTAACCCCATATCAACCTGTCCGCTCACACCACTCAGCAAGCTCCGGCAAGGAAACTTGCCCAATGTTTCGCCCTGCCCAGGAATTGAACCCAGGTCCTCTTGCATGCGAGGCGAGTGCTCTAACCACTAAACTACAGGACTCCACTTCAATCTGCCTTGCCCTAGGAAGGAATTAAAACTCTCACTTTAAACTGGGACGGAGTTTCCAGTTTGCTAAAATCCGGTGATAAGGCAATGCCCTCCTCTAGGGTCTGGAGAAACATCTTCTGAAACTGAAGCATTTCTGGCAGGCTCCCAAACAGCGACTCCATCTGTAACGGGATGTAAAGAGAGGGAGAGGAAAAAAAATTCATTACCATCATATGTCCATGTATCACAAGCACAGGAAACATGACCTTCTTGATTCCAGGATGCATGAATGCTTCATTGAGATTGCGCTGGGAGCTGGAGTACAGTTTTAATAGACAGCAGATTTTGGCTTGTGGCAAGAACAGCAACTTCAACAAAAACACGAAATCAACCTTGGAAACCCGATTTGGATGAAAACAAGTAATCCATCCAGGATAGTGCAACAAATACTAACAATCTGCAAGGATGAGACACCGGATCTTACCCAGGTGTTGAACTGTAAACAGCACGAAGAACATTATATATATTGTATAATAATAAACCTTGCATTTGATATAGCTCCTTATCACGTCTCAAAGCGCTTCATAGAATATTCTGTAAAGTGAATTGACTGTGGGTGAAACACAGCAGTCGTGGATTGGGTGACCAAATTATTTTTTATTATTTTTTTAAAAAATTTTTAGCTCTGAAAAGCAATCCGCCAATCAATTACCAAACGGGTTCCTACTTACTGCTATGTAAACAGAGGTGTGTGGAGTAAGGAAACTTGCCCAATGTTTTGCCTTGCCCCAGAAATTAAACCCAGGTCCTCTCGTTTGTAATGACGAGTGCTTTAACCACTGAGCTACAGGACTCCACATGCCCAGCCTTTGCAGTGTATCTGCCTGCAATTGTGGTGTCAGCTTCAGTCAAAGTGAAAAATAGTCAAACAAAAGCCACTTGGCACTCCTGAGTTCAGATTTCATACCTCATCTTGTGTCAGGAAAGTCTCATTCTGTAAGGGATCCAGGTACACCTCAAAAAGGCAGCTCAAATCCTTCAAAAGAAAGAAGACATATGTAGTATTATTGAAACACTGTCAAATGACCCAACATAATCTTTGTCATCTTTGTGTTCAGCGCCTGGACTGCACAATGTGTGACATTACACACGCCAGGCACTTCACTCTTATTGTGCTGTTAAACATTTTTAACAGGTTTCCCACTCACACTGCTTTCTCAGAAAGAGTGGCATTAGGTAAATGTGAGAACAACAACATCAACAAATTACACAACAAATTATCGCACCCTTTACGTCGAAAAGACATCCCAGGACGCTGGACTGTCAGGGTTTTTTGGACCAGAGCTGAGTCAGGAGAGGTGGGGGTTGGAGGATCGCCGAAGGCACAGTTGAAGAGGAAGGTCTTTAGACCAGAAATGCTGATTGCCCAACTTGTATATTTTGATCAAATTATAATTTTTTTTTGAAGGGATTATTATTAATAAGGACAAAAGATCATTGACATGAAATGTTAACCCACTTTCCTCTCTCCATACATGCTGGCTGCTGAGTGTTCCCAGCAACTCCTGTTTTTATTTCAAATTTCCAGCACCTGCAGTGTTTTGCCTTTTGTAAAGTAAGGACTGCTGCTGAACCATCTCAAGAATCAACTACCAATGCAGAACTGGGACGAGGACAGGTGGACTCGACTTGAGTTTTCCAATGCCCTTCTCACCAGTCTCCACAGCTCCACCTTCCACAGACTCTAGACCATATAGAACTCTGCAGCTGGTATCCTCTCTCTCACCAGGCTCCACGAGCCTGGAATGGGAAGGGCCGGAACCTGCTGAGCCAAAGGAGCGGACAGGTTGATATAGGGTTAGCAGGTCACAGAGGTTGGAAGTAACAAGGCCGTGGAGGGCTTTGATGACAGGGGTTTTGAACTCTATTCTCTGGGGAATATTGTCCAGCGAACTTACTTCAAAGATCCTTATTCTCATCTTCAAATCCCTCCACAGCCTTAGCCCACCCTATCTCTGGGACTTCCTACAATCCTACCCTCCAATCACCCCCTTGGCTCTGCCAATTCTGGCCTGCTTCAAGCCCGCCTCCTCCTCCTAGCTCCATTATCAAATGGCAAGCCATCTGTTCAGTCTTCTACAACTTTCTCCCAAAATTCTATCTGCCTCATCTCTTCCCTCTCAGCTCGGAAATCTTGCTGAAGGCCAATCTCTTTGACTCCACTTTTTGTCACCTGCCCCCCAGCTCGGTCTCCCACTCATTCTTTGTAAAGCGCTTTGAGAAGTTCTCACAAAGTTAAAAGGAGTGACATTGTTTAGTTGTTGCTGAAGGCTTCACTGGAGATGCAAACAACAACATTAACACAACCGGTCAAATGGCCTCCTATTGTGCCTTACATGGAATCCTATAGCTTAGTGCTTAGAGCACTCGCCTCGCAAATGAGACGACCTAGGTTAGATTCCCAGCAGGGCGAAATGTTGGCAAGTTTCCTTGCTTCACACTCCTCTGTTTACCTAACAGTAAGTAGGAACCCATTTTTTAGTAGATTGGTGGATTGCTTTCCCAGGGGTAATAATTCCTTAAAAAATGATAATTATTTGTTCACTCAATCCACAACTATTTGTGGGACACTGCTGTGGGCAAATGGCTGCTGCGATGCGCCCACAAAATATACAGTCAATTCACTTTACAGCATATTCTGTGAAGCACTTTGAGACACTTCGAAGACATGATAAGGCACTGAATCAAATGCAAGGATTATTATTATTACTACATTTACATGGTTTTAACTCGGTTTCTATTTTGACATCTGCAAAATGAGCTTGCTCTAAATCTAAAATAGATTTATTAAAAGTAAATAAGAAAAAAATCTGTTTGTGAGATGTCAGGGTCTTTAAATAAACTGAAAATTCAATTGATTTGGTTTCCATTGGGGTGCAGAATGTTCCTACATTATTTAATACAGGGTTTATTTAGTACCGTGGGGTCCTGTAGCTCAGTGGTTAGAGCACTCACCTTGCAGACACCTTGGTTCAATTCCAGGCAGGGCGAAACCTTGAGCAAGTTTCCTTACTCCACACGCCTAATAATAATCCCTCCAAAAACAATAATAAATTGATCATTTTCAAACCACAACTGTTTGTGGGACACTGCTGTGCGCAATTGGCTGTCGTGTTTCACCCACAAATATACGATCAATTCACTTTACAGTTTGGTCTGTGAAGTGCTTTAAGACGTCGAGAAGACGTGAAAAGCGCTATATCAAATGCAAGGATTATTATTATTATTATATTACCGTGACTATGATTAATACCAGGATCACGATTAGTTAACCATCCCAAAATGCAGGGAGAACACTCAGTGAGATCCTATCCTTGTAAATGGGACACAAACCTCCACATTACAAACTTTATTTGGAATTACACAATGCTCAAGAGAGAGTGAGTAATAATAATAATTCTTGCATTTGATATAGTGCCTGATGATGTCTTCAAAAAGCAGCAGCCAATTGCTCACAGCAGTGACCCACAAACAGTTGTGGATTGAGTGACCAAATTATTATTTATTTACTTAGAAGGGATTATTATCCCTGGAAACGCGATCTGGCAATTGATTAACAACTTGTTCCTACTTACTATCAGGTAAACAGAGGTGTGTGGAGCAAGGAAACCCGCATGGGAATTGAACCCTGGTCCTATCGCTTGCAAGGCGAGTGCTCTAACCACTGAGCTAAAGGACTCCAAATAAAATCACATTAATAGTTTGAACAGCTTCAGTATGTTTTAGAGCTTCTCTACTCTGGGTTAGGAGGTTGTGGGTTTGAGCCTCAATTCAGGGCCTTGAGCTCATAGTCCCAAAAGTTTATTCTGGGCAAGCGCTGCTGAAGTCTATTGATGAGATGCTGACAGCAACGACCCAACAGACTTCCAGAAAAACGGATCAACAACATCTTGTGTTTATACAGTGCTCTTCAGGTAGTACAACGGCTCAATAGGTGATACACCAAACATAGCTGGGGGTGGGGGGGTGAAGGGAAGTGGCTGTAGGCACAGTTGAAGAGGATCCTTCACTTTATGGCCATTTGCGGATCTTACTGGCACATTTCTTTATAACCAATCATTGAACATTTGACAGTAATCATTTGTGAAGCACTTTCGAGATGGTTTGGCACTATAGAAATTCAAATGCAATATTGCAGTCAGAGTGGCCGGTTCTCAACCCTCTCACTGAACTGGCTCAGAAATGCCTTGTTCTGATTTAAGTGCTCCGGGACGCTATCCTGCATGATGGGCACTATATAAATGCAAGTTGTCGTTGTGGTTGTTGCTACCACTGTGATCTGCAATTCCTAAGTTCCTTGGTTTTGTGCAAAGGATTGGTAGAGACAATGGATTAATCAGTGGTTGGTTCTATACTGCCGACAGGACAACAACAATTTGCATTTATATAGCGCACTTCACGTGGGATAGCGTCCCGGAGCGCTTCACAGTAGCAGAGTTCGACCCTGAGTCACAATCAAAAAGGAAGGTCTTTAGGGAATATGTGAAGGTGGGGACGGAGGAGGCAAGGGGGAGGGATTGAGGGAGAGAGTTCCAGAGTTTCGGGGCACAGCGGCTGAAGGCACGACCACCAATTGCAGAGAGGAGGGGATGAGGGACCAACAGGAGGTCGGAGAGGTAGGGAGGTGCAAAGGTATGAAGGGATTTGAAAACAACCCATCACATACTGCTAATATATTAGCACACTGCCCACAACCACAGCCTAACTAGGGCGTCTAGGGATCTGAATTCAACTGATTAACAATATAACCTAAGCATCCTGTTTGCCTTGTTTATTGCTGCCTCACACTGTTTTGATGCAGTGAGCAATGACTCAACTGATACTCCAACGTCTTTTCAGCATCCGCTTGGCATGTTTTATCCCTGTCAAGAAATTCATGTCCCTCCTATTTTTACCTTCTATATATAATAATAATCCTTGCATTTGCATTTCGTCTCAAAGAGCTTGACAGGATATACTGTAAAGTGTAGTGACTGTGTATTTTGTGGACAAAAATATATAGATTTATAAATTTATAAAAGAATGTGAAATATATATAAGCAGTGTCTTGCACTTATCTATATTGAACTTCAGTATCTCCTGTTCACTTAATGTTTCCCTTTGCTCTTCTTTCCCCACCCCCTTCTCTGCTTGTTTTTATAATCTGCTCCATTCCAACATCCCCCAGTTCCAATAAAAGGAAACGTTAACTCACTTTTCTCTCTTCATAGATGCTGCCTGACCTGCTGCCTATGCCTAGCCCAGTGATTTCTGTTTTTACTTTAGTATCAGTGTCAGACATCCGGCTGATCAAAAGACATACGACACCTGTGTTGCAAGTTCCTGATCTATGGTGGGAAACTATGGATGTTTCTATGGGAGGAGGGAGGGAGAGAGAAGAGTGGAAACAATGCAGAAATGCTCACAATGTAGATCAGCATAAGGTCATAATAATAATCCTTGCATTTGATATAGCTCCTTATCACGTCTTCGAGACGTTTCAAACCACTTCACAGAATATACTGTAAAGTGAATTGACTGTATATTCCTTGGCTGAAACACGGCAGCCAATTGCTCACAGCAGTGCCCCACAGACAGTCGTGGATTGAGTGACCGAAATATTATTGTTTATTTGGAAGAGATTTATTTACCCATGGAAAAGCAGTCACCAATCGACTGACAATTGGAATCTTACTTGTTTGGTAAACAGAGGTGTGTGGACTAAGGAAATTTGCCCAACATTCCACCTTGCCTGGGAATCGAACCCAGGTCCTCTCGCTTGCGAGGCGAATGCTCTAACCACTGAGCTACAGGACTCCTAATGACAAAATGGGTTAATGACCAATCAGAGTCGCCAAAGTTCTTAAGATTTTTTCTTTAAGAAAATAAGTTTCAAAAAGTTTAAAATAAAACGCCCATGAAACAGCGAGGAGGGCAACTGGGCATTGCGAGAGGAGAGGTAACAACAGTGATTAATCATAGTGGGAACAAACTCCTGGCGCGAAAAACAATGGAAAGCAAATTGGGTGCAGACTATTGTGCTTCAAGGAACACAAATATGGACGTAATCATCTGAATTGCAAACTCTGAGGAAACAAATCTGAGGAGGCAGATTAAAACAGGCGAATTTAGGGAAAACAAGTGCAGTTAATTCATTCAATAGAAATATAAAGAGAGTGAACGATGGGAGATACTGGTGTGACAAGAGAAAAGATGCATTTTAAAATTAGGAATGAAAGGAAATGCAGTGAAAGCTACTCCAGTGAGAGGAATATAGAGTTAATAATAATAATCCTTGCATTTGATATAACACCTAATCACGTCTTTGAGACATCTCAAAACGCTTCACAGAATATACTGTAAAGTGAATTGCATGTATATTTTGTGGGAGAATCATGGCAGCCAATTGTGTACAGCAGCGTCCCACAAACAGTTGTGGATTGAGTGACCAAATTATTATTAATTTTTGAAGGGTTTATTACCCCCGGAAAAGCGAGGGGATCTTACTTACTGCTAGGTAAACAGAGGTGTGCGCAGTAAGGAAACTTGCCTAACGTTTTGCCTAACTGCCCAGGAATTGAACCCGGTTCCTCTCGCTTGTGAGGCGAATGCTCTAACCACTATGCTCCAAGATCCACTATGCTCCTGCAATCTTCTCCACAGAGCCATTTAACTTAATCTCCCTATTCCCTGCTCTTTCCCCTCACTCTTTTATTATTGTTCCTCTTCAAATATCCAATTCCCTTTTCAATCTTTGGTCTTAGCCACTAGAGACATGTTGTAATCAGTTCTGCATGAAAAACATTTCTTCTATCACTCCTCTTTTAAAGCAATCTCTCCTCTTCCTCCCCACCGCCCCGCATCCTTTCCAATATGAAGTAAACATAATTGGTGAAAGAACTGAAAAGATATGAAAGATGGTCAAGGCAACATCTATGGAGAGAGGAAAGTGAGTTAACAGTTCAGGTCGATGACCTTTCGTCAGAACCCTGTTGAAAAGTCATCGACCTGAAACATTAACTCACTTTCCTTTCTCCATAGATGCTGCCTGACCCGCTGAGTGTTCCCAGAGACCTCTGTTTTTATTTCAGATTTCCAGCATCTGCATATTTTGTCTTATATTTATGCTAGGCTGACTTGATGATGATTAACTGTACACGATTGATTTTCAGGCAAATTAAATATAACCTCAATCGCCTAATCTGAATTCATAATATAATAATCCTTGCATTTGATATAGCGCCTTATCACGTCGTTGAGACGTCTCATAGCGCTTTAATCAATTCAGCACAAAGGACACAATGTTCACATACACACTCACCTTCACGTAGGATTCCTCGGTGTCCACCAATTCCTGGATGACTTTCCGAAGCCTCTCTACATCAGAGAGGTGCCGCGCCAGAGCTCTCACAGGCTGATCGGGATTATCCTTCTGTCTGTCCATACCGGACGGCTGCAGCTCATGTAGACTTCTGCACAAGGTGCTAACCTGCTCTGTGCTCTGGGGGGGGAAGAAAAGAATGTTGCGTAAACCACAAAGCAACTTGCCAGACACAAATCGACCACATTTTTGCCCAGTAAATGATATAATAGCATTTAATATAATGCCTCATCACATCTTCGAGACGTCTCAAAGCGCTTCACAGAATATATTGTAAAATTAATCCACTGTATTCATTGCAGCAGCCAATTGTGCATAGCAGTGACCCACAGACAGTCGTGGATTGAGTGACCCAATTATTATTTTACTTTTTGAAGGAATTATCATCCCTGGAAAAGCGCTCCGCCAATCGACTAACAACCAGGTTCCTATTTACTGCTAGGTAATCAGAGGCAGAGTGTAGTTTAAGGAAAACTTGCCCAACGTTTCACCCTGACGGAAATCAAACCCAGTTCCTCTCGCTTGTGAGGCGAGTGCTCTAACCATTAAGGTACAGGACTCCACTTAAATCCTGTGAAGTACTTGAAGATGTCCTCCTGACATGAAAAGCGCTGATATCAAATTATTACTATTGTAAATACAAGCACTTACTCATGTAAGTCCCATAGCGTAGTGGTTCGCCCACAAAATGCACAAGTCAATCCGCTTCACGTTATATCCTGTGAAGCGCCTTGAGATGACTCAATAACGTGATAAGGCGCAATATCAAATGCAAGGATTATTATTATTTAAGTCAATTAGAACTTTACTGCTCTAGATTCCGGTCTGGCCTTACTTTGCTTGAAGAGGGAACACAGTCAAATTAGTAACATCTCCGCCGATGCGCACGATAAACATGACACTGAGCCTTAGGAGCACTCTTCGTTTATCGAGGCGAAAGCAACCGCAAGGACACCAGATGGACGTCTGACTGCAGAACCCAACCAACAGCCTTTCACATTACATCCCCTCTTCATTCAAAGCCACCTTTGTTTTTTTCCGCTGAGACGTTTAATCTGCAATGGAGTGCAACACAAGTAGCTGACCTCAAAAGGTTTCTGGGTCAGACCCAGGAAAGCTACTTGAATTACCTGCTACAATTTTCCGATGGACATTTTGAAATTCATAACGACATTTGCTTTCAAAAAGTAGTTGAATCGCTCGGATGTCTCCGCATGAAATACTGGAGGAAGAATACCTGGCCCCAGCCTCTAAATATCCACATTGGGTTGAAGTTCAGTAACAAAGACAATTTACTGCATCAAGTGCTTGGTGTGTGTAGAGAAAACTAGTCAGACACCACACCTTCTCCGACCGCCCTTGGGAGCAGGTACAGTGTGTGCAATATAACCACCTGTGCTCTTCACTGAACACCCAGCATAGGGTACAATAATAATAATCCTTGCATTTGATATAGTGCCTCATCATGTCTTCAAGATATTTCAAAGCGCTTCACAGAATATACTGTAAAGTTAACTAACTATATATTTTGTGGGCGAAACGTGACAGCCAATTGCGCACAGCAGTGTCCCACAAACAGTCGTGGATTAAGTTATAAAATTATTATTATTTTTGAGGGGCGGGGGGGAGAGAGGGATTATTATTGCCGGAAAAGCATTCAACCAATCGACTAACAACTGGGTTCCCAGGTAAACAGAGGCGTGTGGATTAAGGAAACTTGCCTAATGTTTCATCCTGCCCAAGAATTGAACCCAGGTCCTCTCGCTTGCGAGGTGAGTTCTCTAACCATTAAGCTAGTATAATATGAAATTAAATAAAAAGTGGGGTGGGGAAAATATATATTTTGGGCGCATTCCCGTTGGTGTTTCTGAACTGAATGGAATTACCTAAATATATTTACTCCAGTCGAGCAGAGGTAGTGGGTAGGGGAGAAAGCAGGTCGGAGAGCTGGGGAGGTGACAGGTGCTACAAATAGACTATACTTTACAGTATATTCCTTTGAAGCACTTTGAAACACGCTCCCGACCTGTAAAGTGCTATGTCAAATGCAAGGATTATTATTCACTGTCCTATAGTAGTGCCAGGGGTAGGAATCAGTACAACATTCTTGATACATTTCTTTTGTGTTGGCCAGTTCACAAATCACACAGCTAGTGAGGAAACTCTATACTGACATTCACACAACACACACACTGCAGCATATGCTACCAAAACACTGGTTGTATGAAACCTGATGCACATAAGAGAGAGAAGGGAATAGAGTTTGTTTTTTGCTCAGCCAGGTGTCTGACACATACGGAAACCCATCACTGCGCTCAAGATTATCCAAACCAAGTTGAGAATTGCAAGCATCCCACCTATACATGGAAATCCCAGAGATAGATTGTTGGAATGGAATGCGAACTCTCTCCTGTTTACCTAATTCCGGAGAGTATTAGGCGCAGGTTGGCAAGAGCCAAGACTTGCGGACTCCAGAGTGTGAGTTGAGATGAAGTGCTTTGAGTGGGCTCGACAACGTGATAAGGCGCTGTATCAAGCTCAATTATAAGAGCATAAGAATTAGGAGCATGAGTAGGCCATTCGGCCCCTCGAGCCTGCCCCACCATTCGATAAGACCATGGCTGATCTTCAGACCTAATTTTAATTATCTGCCCTATCCCCATAGCCCCTAATCCCTTTATTTTTTAAAAAATCTATCAGTCTCAGCCTTGATGATGTTCAAGGACTGAGCATCTACTGCCTTCTGGGGTAGTGAAGAAATGTTTCCTCAACTCTGTTCTAAAAGGCTGACCCTTAATTTTAAGACTGTGACCCCTAGTTATAGATTCTCCTACCAGGGGAAACAGTGCCTCAGTGTCTACTTTATCCAACTCTTTAAGAATCTTACATGTTTCAATAAGATCTCCCCTAATTCTTTTGTACTCTAGAGAAAATAGCCCTACAACAACAAGATTTCATTTATAGAGCGCCTTTCACGTCGGGAGGACATCCCAAGGCGTTGGACAGTTGGGTCGGGACCGAGCAGGGGGTAATGGTCAGGGTGAGGGGAGGGAAGGAGCGAGGAGGGGGTAGAGAGTCAAGAGGGGAGCTGAAGGCACAGTCAAAGAGAAGGGTCTTGAGACCGGCCTTGAAGGAGGAAAGGGAGGAAGCAAGACGAAGGCACTGGGGGATGGAGTTCCAGAGCCTGGGGGCTGAGAGGCTGAAGGCCCGGCCACCGATGGTAGGGCGGTTGGGGTGGGGGATATGGAGCAGACCGGAGCCAGAGGAACGGAGGGTACGGGCAGGTAAATAGGGGGATAGTAGGTCGGAGAGGTAGGAGGGAGCAAGGCCGTGAATGGCCTTGTAGGTGAGGATGAGGATCTTGAAATCGATCCTCTGGGGGATGGGGAGCCAGTGGAGGTGAGCGAGGGTGGAAGTAATGTGGTTGCGAAGCCTGGTGCGGGACAGTACACGAGCTGCAGAGTTCTGAATGACCTACAGTGTGGAGGGAGGGCCGGGAAGGCCGACGAGGAGAGAGTTCCCGTAGTCCAGCCTTGAGGTGATAAAGGCGTGGACCAGAGTTTCAGCAGCGTGAGGGGTGAGGTAGTGCCGTAGTCTGGCGATATTCCGGAGGTGATGGAAGGCGGTGCCAGTTGTGGCGCAGATATGAGGAAGAAAGGACAGCTCAGGGTCAAACAGAACACCGAGGTTCCTGACTGGCTTTGAGAGGTGGAGAGTGCAGCCTTGGATACTGATGCTGTCAGCGCCTGAGGTGCGGAGGCGCTGATGCGATCCAACAGGAGGGCCTCAGTTTTGTGCCAGCGGATGATGTCACCGAGGGGGAGCATATAGAGGGTGAAGAGGAGGGGACCGAGAACAGAGCCCTGAGGGACACCACACGAGACAGTGCGGGGGATGGAGGAAAAGCCGTTTGTGGAAACAAAATGAAGACGGTGGGAGAGGTACGACCTAAAGCACTCAAGGACAGGGCCTTGAAGGTTGAGGTGGGAGGACAAGCGGTGGAGGAGGATCGCGTGGTCGACCGTATCGAATGCGGCTGGGAGGACGAGGAGGCAGAGGGAGCCCTGGTCGCAGATGGTCAAGATGTCATTAGTGACCTTGACCCGGGCAGTTTCTGTGCTATGGGCAGCACGGAAACCCGACTGAAGGGGTTCGAATAATGAATGGGTGGAGAGGAAAGAGCGCAGCTGGGAGGCGACGACTCTTTCAAGGACCTTGGACAGGAAGGGGAGGCTGGAGATGGGCCGGTAGCTTGATAGCTGCGATGCATCAAGGGAGGGTTTTTTTAAGGTGGGAGTGATGGTGGCAGTTTTTAGGAGAATGGGAACAGAGCCAGAGGAAAGGGACAGGTTGATGATGTCTGTGAGAAGTGGGGCAAGGAGGTGGAGCTGGGAGATAAGGAGTGGAGTGGGGATGGGGTCAAGGGAGCAGGTGGTGGGCTTCAGGGGCAGGATGAGGTTGGTGACAGAGGGTGGGAAAACGGGTTCGAAGGTGTGTAGGAGAGGATGGGTAGGAGTCGGAGTGTGGGAAGGAAGGGGTGGGTGGAAGTTGGAGAAGCAGTGACCGCGGAGCGGATTCCCTTGATTTTGGATTCAAGGAAATCCAGCATCTCCTCGCAGTGAAGGTTGGAGGAGGTGACCTGCACGGGGTGGCGGGCGGGACGGAGGAGTTGGGATGTGGTAGGGAACAGAAGCTGAGATTGTTCTTCACCTCCAGAATTATCCTGGAGTAGAAGGACGACTTGGCTGAGGCTATAGTGGAGCGTTAGATTTTGAGGAGGTCCAGCCAGATTTGTCGGTGGACCGTTAGGCCAGATTTGAGGCAGGTGTGTTCAGCAGCCCGCACCTGGCTCTTCAGTGAGCGGAGGTGGGTGGTGAACCAGGGGGAGGAGCGAGAGTAAAAGACAGTACTGGAGGTGATGGGGGCAAGAGTGTGGCGGAGAGGGTGTTGTGGAGGAGGGTGAGAGCAGAAGAGGAATGAAGGCCAGAGGGAGAAGAGTTCAGAGGACTCCAAGGCAGTGGTTAGGGATTGTGGGGGTAACTTCTTCCAGGGGCGGTAGAAGATGGTGGTGGGTCTGGTGGAGGTAGGGAGGGGGGGTGGAGGTGGTGAAGGAGATGAAG